ATGCAGTTGTGTTCTCTGAGCTGGATAGTTAATTTACGAAGCTTTCATCGCTTCAAAGTGAAGGTGTCGTCTAGTAGGGGGACGAAAGCTTCGTAAATTAACTATCCCGCTCAGAGAACACAACCACATCAATAGAATAATGGCTTCTGTAGTTAGTATTTCTGTGAATTAAGTCCCACCACTGTACACGATAAATGAAACAATCAGAAATTTTTGATTCAGTACTCTTTATTGATTTCATCACGCCAACTCTTTTTTTCATTGATTTTTTTACGTGGAGGTAGCTGCTATGATAGTGATAAGACAAAAAAACAATCTTTGTAAAATTTACAAATTTGATTAGCAAGTTTATAAAATAACAACAATACAATGCAACACCACTTGTATTTTTGATATCATATCATTTTCCATCAACTAAGTCGTTTTTCAATTAGACTCTATACTAATACAAGTCAAATGTATAGAAATCATTGATTGTACTGTTTATCCCTTCATTGATTAGAATTTTGCTTTGTCACAAAGTGTAATACTCTCTCGTAAGGAAAAACGAATTGATTTTTAAAACTAGAGTCGATGTGTATTGGCTTTATGTTTCAGTAGAAAAATATCAGCAGTGATTTTGATGCAAGTGTTTCAAGTTCTAGATAGCATACGTTGTACTTTTCATGTGCCAGTGCTATTCATCAACAAATAAAGTAATTTTAGTAGGATTTGCAGACTTTATTACAGTGAAGATGTTTTTAATGTAATATCATGACAGTTATTTTTGGGTATTAAATATTTCTGTGTCAGACGGGTCACTTAAGTGAGGCCTTTAGAAAAGATACCTTATAGTATGATCAACATAATTGTTTACTCATGAAGACTTCGCATCTTAGCTCCTGTCTAAAACATTAAAATATAATTCGAGTGATTGCATTTTAAAGATGTATTGAAGTGCAAACATCAGTTGTTATTATTATTATTACAACAAAGTGGTCACTCTACGCTAGTCTGTTTGTTAATATATGTGTAACACTTGGGTACGGTTTACTGTTTACTGAATGTATATATATATATATATATATATATATATATATATATTCATGTCTGCAATCCACGTCAAATGTAAGATGATGTTACCGGACTGGATTACACTAACTCCCAGTTTGGAAATAGAGAGTGAAGTGGTAGAGAACGTTGACAGCTTCACTTATTTGGGAAGTACCATCAGTCTGCACCAATCAGAGGACTAGACGCATCACACTAGTTACTAGTGTCAAATCAAAGTACCATCAGCACCAACGGGTCGATTTCTGACGAAATCTCAGCACGGATACAGAGGGCTAGTTTCACATATGCCAGTTTACGCCAACTCTGGCGTAGATGTGATATCCGGCTATCGACCAAAGAGCGCGTGTACTGCTCAGCAGTCCGCTCCATCCTCCTTTATGGCTGTGAATGAGACATGGCCATTAAGATTGGAAGACATAAAAAGGCTAGTTAGCCGTCTTTGATCATAGGTGCCTGAGTTCTATCTCCGTGTGAAGTGGTATTATAAGGTGAGCAATATTGAGGTAAGGCGTCGGTCGAGTGCTAGGTAAGGAGGGGAAATCAATCGACGAGGCTGTGAAGTTACACAGATTGAGATGGTTAGGACATGTGTAACGTATGCCTAGTCTTCGCCTTCCTCGACAGTCAATCTTAGCTGACATAGGGTCAGGCTGGGAAAGAGCTAGCGGCGGTCAAACCAAACACATGGCACCAGTCAATAAAATCCACAACAGTTAGTTTAAGCCAACCAGTCACATAGGAAGATGTAGACTTCCTGGTTGGGGTCCTCGGGACGGTAAAAACCAATGGCTGGAAACAATTGGCGATATGGCTCAAAATCGCTGTCAATGGTTGGCGCAGATGCATCCACTCCTTGTGACTTATGATTTCAAATGAAACTATATCGTTCTTCGTTATTAGTATTCCTTTGTCTCACACCTCTGTTTACTGTGATTATTATGCATTTCTTGTACTTTCTTCTCTTACTCTGTGTACTACATGGAGGGAGTGTAGCGACTTGAACTGCTGCATATCGGTGCAAAATTCTATGTCGAAAACAGACAGACAGACATATATATCACGTACACAGTGAAACAGCTTTATTTACTGGCAGACGTTTCAAACCTAATTTATTGTTTATAATCATATCAATTGTGAATACACAAATTCATAATATCATTTTAATGGTTCTCTTTCTTCCTTTCCATTTTTTGCATTTGTAGTCGAATTTTCCAGATGTCCGAGACAGGTGTTGAATCATTCTTATTGCTTATATTCTCATTCGATTCGGGAAATAAAGCTTTTGTTTTCAATATGTCCCTCTGCCCTGTTATAATAGATTTTAAAACTGTCATGCTGTCCAGTGCTATTGCATGATTGTGTGTAACTGCATGTGGCGCTATAGCTGAGCTATTTTCTAGATTTGTTGTCTTATAATGGTCAATAAATCGAATTTCGCTAGGTTAGCAGCGTTCTACCACTTTGGAATTCACAATCATTGTAGGGTATTATGTAGTATTTGATGGACTCCACAGGATCCTTTGATCTAAATGATTTGTTTCTAAGTTAGTTTGTGGTTTTAAATAGCCCTTTTATTTCTTATTTGGGAATTATGCCTAAGGTGCTAGAGGTTCCTATTTGTATGGAAGCACTACTGATGTTTTAAATTCTCTGTTGTCGCTGGTCATCTTTTTTCGTATGCTTGCCATTCGTCCCTATTATTGTTACTTCCAGGTTAAATTTGTCTCTTGTGGCATACTGATTTTTTCATCATCAATTTAAAGCATTGTAACTGTTTAAAAATACCCATTAAAATTTCCAAAAGAATGGATACTGAACAAGGTACTCTTTTCGATAACTTCATCAACACGCTCTACACTTATATATACATTATAGTGAATGAATGAATGAATGTTATGGACAACATTAATGCTTAAATAACATCGAATCAATTATACTGATAGATTACAGCTCAGCAGGATCAACATAAAATAATCTGAATGTCAGAAAAATTAGGGAAGATAATATTACAAATTCATGAATTTAGAGTCTCTACTGAAGGCCGGCCAGGGCAGTAGTAGGGGATGAATTTGCTTCTTTTGAACACAGAGCACTGGTTGTTTGAGGCGAATTGCAATAGACTCTGCTGTTTGGGGCATGCGGTGCTTCGATGATTTTGGTAACTTATTTGGCACCCTGTAGATTATAGAGAAGGATTCTTCCACGCTGGCTTTTAGCTGTTTTGCACCAGATGATCCAATATCGAACCGTTAATGGTTTCCATTACACCTTTACTTGGCCATAGTGGGAGATGTTCTCGAGCACGAAAAATCAGTTTCCTAGAGTAACGGCCATTAACCATTGTAGTAGTAGTTTCAAAATATTTCATTATTATTCCTTTACTTTTGGTTATATTTCAAGGACTCAAAGGTTAAAACTGATCGGTGACAGAATACAGTTAACAGATGTATCGCATTAATCAATTCCATTAAATCTGTATGCCTGTGTTTCAGTTATTTAAATTACTGATTTCGATTTAGTTACATTATATTTTAGATCGATATGGTTGCTTCCAGAAGAGTCCTCAGTTTTCTTTATATGTCTATGATATCCATTAAATTAGCGACGTCCAGTGGAATTCAATATAAGAGTGCTGTTAAGTTGATTTCAAAATCATTAAAAGTTGAGGTGAGTTATCAAACAGTAGGGAGATTGAATTATTCATATCTTTATATAATCTTCTCCTCAATGAAAAGAATTCTCTATCTCCGATAACGAACATGTGTTTGTCACCATGCCATACTATTGTTAAACAAATCTCAAAATTCCTTCAAATAATTTTAGGAGACTTTAATACAATCCTCATCGCGAGACATCTCAAATTTTCCAAATTCTTCAACTATCATTATTAACAAAATTCACAAAATTTACCACTGGTTCGATTTGCTTCAAATCACTTAATGAATCCTAAAATAGTAAACTAGGAATTCAGCTACTTTCTGTCACGTAGAAATATAATACGGAAGTTTTCGGTATGGTGATTTTTGCTACATTTTTCTCTGACTGAATCTCCTGTTTTGTGACACAGACTAAGATTGTTCGAATCATCACTGGTGAAGCGGTACACATTCAGCTGAAGCCGTCTATTTGGACTCTAAAATTCCTAATAGAGATATCACGTATGCAACAAGCAGTTTGTATAGAAGTTAATGGACACTTACACTGATTCTTGCTTTGTACCTAGTATTTACAAAATGTTTAGTTAAAGACAAATGGTACAACTAGTGGAAACCCAAAAGTGTTTATGTAAGAATCGTGACCTCTTAGACACAGAGAATGATGCTAGGTGAACCGAGGAAAACAACTACGTAACATATTACTTTTGAAAGCCAGGAATACATATATTTTAACTAGTTTGCTGTCCATAGCTGATATTTAACTTTGCACCAACACTTTCACAATTAGTAGTCCTCAAGGGTTAAGTCAATTCCCCTCAATATTTGTTTGAGCTAGTCAGCTTTCTAAGCTTGGTGCTCTTATCGTCTGGAGAAAGGAATGGTCTGTTATGTGGATAGATTCAAGGTGGTTGATAGGAACTAGTAATTGAAATGGATTCTCTCTAACAATTTCGACAGTTTCATAAGCCTTCAAATACAGACAATTGAGGTAATAGTAAAAAACAAATGAGACACTATTTTGTGTTTGTTTTTCATCCTTAGAAACTTAAAGTAGCACAATTCAGTAAAATAGTAGACTTATTGATTATTAAATACAACCATTTGGCTTCTTGATTTACTGTTAAACCTTAATTTTATAAGAAATCCTGAACACAGAATCCATTTCACTCCAAAGAAAACTTTACTGTCATAAATGGGACATCGACTACAACAACCATTAATAATTTCAATATCTTCATTCCCACATCTAGTCACTAAGAATTACGCACTAAAATAATAAAGATATAATAAATATTACGAATTAATTACTCTTATTAGTTTTCCAAAAAAGTAGGCAGAAAATATTATACATTAAACAAATTCAAACATTATTTAGAAAGCTATAGAGTGTTGAACTGCCTGTCGTTTCACTACTCAAAAATAGGATGTGAAATAATCATTAAGCAAAATATCATTTAAAAATTTGTATAATATTAAGTTATCTATAGAAATTCTGTAATAGTATAAATAATCCTTATCATTTTCTTGTATCTCCCTTCATAGGATGATTTTCAGCTTATATTGGGTGATGATGTATTAGCATTTATTGAAGCAGCCGTCGTTAATTTTGACTTGGTACTTATAGAAGAGTTTGAGTGAGCAGAAGATAAGCCAGATTTTATTGGCAATTTTGACGACGTTGTCAGAGTTCGCTGGTTCGGTGCAAGCCTGTGTGACAAATTAGGACTTGATGGCGAAGAACTAAATTTCTGTGTTGGTGAGATCGAATGAGGTTCAACGCGCAGAACGTCCATGGACCCCTTAAATGAAGATCGCGTACCAGCCAAAGAGGAAGCGTTCATTTGACTCTGCGGCAGTTTTGAAAAACTTTTACTCGCAAGCGAAGAATTAGAAGCCCTCAAACCAGAAGACATAGAAAGATTACTAGTTGAAGAGGTACCACGAATAGAACGAGTAGGAGAACGCGAGGCAACAGACGATTTCTTACTCAAAACTGTCGAACCCAGAACAGAATTAACATTCGAAAATCGAGAACCAAAACCAGAGTTAGGACCACCAGCATCCAAGCGACCCGACACCGAAGAAACATCCTCCAAACTGCAAGGAATCAGACCTGATGTTTCAACAGCGCTCGTCGACTCCACATTAACGTCTGGTGTGCTCCCGAGAGATGATTTCACGGAGGAGGCAATGATTGGTGCGTCAGGACTCCGTGTTAACTGGATGTCGTCCATCTGAGACTGGAGACCACTGTCGGTCGTGTTGTTGTTAGAGATGTCTTCGATTTTGGTGTCAGCTATGGAATCGGATTGTGTGGGCGAATTCTCTGCTTTCTCGGAGATGAGACTAGATATCTCGTCAGTGGCCATCGATTCCACATTGATGTCTGGTGTGCTCCCGAGAGATGATTTCACGGAGGAGGCAATGATTGGTGCGTCAGGACTCCGTGTTAACTGGATGTCGTCCATCTGAGACTGGAGACCACTGTCGGTCGTGTTGTTGTTAGAGGTGTCTTCGACTTTGATGTCAGCTATGGAATCGGATTGTGTGGGCGAATTCTCTGCTTTCTCGGAGATGAGACTAGATATCTCGTCAGTGGCCATCGATTCCACATTGATGTCTGGTGTGCTCCCGAGAGATGATTTCACGGAGGAGGCAATGATTGGTGCGTCAGGACTCCGTGTTAACTGGAAGTCGTCCATCTGAGACTGGAGACCACTGTCGGTCGTGTTGTTGTTAGAGATGTCTTCGATTTTGGTGTCAGCTATGGAATCGGATTGTGTGGGCGAATTCTCTGCTTTCTCGGAGATGAGACTAGATATCTCGTCAGTGGCCATCGATTCCACATTGATGTCTGGTGTGCTCCCGAGAGATGATTTCACGGAGGAGGCAATGATTGGTGCGTCAGGACTCCGTGTTAACTGGAAGTCGTCCATCTGAGACTGGAGACCACTGTCGGTCGTGTTGTTGTTAGAGATGTCTTCGATTTTGGTGTCAGCTATGGAATCGGATTGTGTGGGCGAATTCTCTGCTTTCTCGGAGATGAGACTAGATATCTCGTCAGTGGCCATCGATTCCACATTGATGTCTGGTGTGCTCCCGAGAGATGATTTCACGGAGGAGGCAATGATTGGTGCGTCAGGACTCCGTGTTAACTGGATGTCGTCCATCTGAGACTGGAGACCACTGTCGGTCGTGTTGTTGTTAGAGATGTCTTCGATTTTGGTGTCAGCTATGGAATCGGATTGTGTGGGCGAATTCTCTGCTTTCTCGGAGATGAGACTAGATATCTCGTCAGTGGCCATCGATTCCACATTGGTGTCTGGTGTGCTCCCGAGAGATGATTTCACGGAGGAGGCAATGATTGGTGCGTCAGGACTCCGTGTTAACTGGATGTCGTCCATCTGAGACTGGAGACCACTGTCGGTCGTGTTGTTGTTAGAGATGTCTTCGATTTTGGTGTCAGCTATGGAATCGGATTGTGTGGGCGAATTCTCTGCTTTCTCGGAGATGAGACTAGATATCTCGTCAGTGGCCATCGATTCCACATTGATGTCTGGTGTGCTCCCGAGAGATGATTTCACGGAGGAGGCAATGATTGGTGCGTCAGGACTCCGTGTTAACTGGAAGTCGTCCATCTGAGACTGGAGACCACTGTCGGTCGTGTTGTTGTTAGAGATGTCTTCGATTTTGGTGTCAGCTATGGAATCGGATTGTGTGGGCGAATTCTCTGCTTTCTCGGAGATGAGACTAGATATCTCGTCAGTGGCCATCGATTCCACATTGATGTCTGGTGTGCTCCCGAGAGATGATTTCACGGAGGAGGCAATGATTGGTGCGTCAGGACTCCGTGTTAACTGGAAGTCGTCCATCTGAGACTGGAGACCACTGTCGGTCGTGTTGTTGTTAGAGATGTCTTCGATTTTGGTGTCAGCTATGGAATCGGATTGTGTGGGCGAATTCTCTGCTTTCTCGGAGATGAGACTAGATATCTCGTCAGTGGCCATCGATTCCACATTGATGTCTGGTGTGCTCCCGAGAGATGATTTCACGGAGGAGGCAATGATTGGTGCGTCAGGACTCCGTGTTAACTGGATGTCGTCCATCTGAGACTGGAGACCACTGTCGGTCGTGTTGTTGTTAGAGATGTCTTCGATTTTGGTGTCAGCTATGGAATCGGATTGTGTGGGCGAATTCTCTGCTTTCTCGGAGATGAGACTAGATATCTCGTCAGTGGCCATCGATTCCACATTGGTGTCTGGTGTGCTCCCGAGAGATGATTTCACGGAGGAGGCAATGATTGGTGCGTCAGGACTCCGTGTTAACTGGAAGTCGTCCATCTGAGACTGGAGACCACTGTCGGTCGTGTTGTTGTTAGAGATGTCTTCGATTTTGGTGTCAGCTATGGAATCGGATTGTGTGGGCGAATTCTCTGCTTTCTCGGAGATGAGACTAGATATCTCGTCAGTGGCCATCGATTCCACATTGATGTCTGGTGTGCTCCCGAGAGATGATTTCACGGAGGAGGCAATGATTGGTGCGTCAGGACTCCGTGTTAACTGGATGTCGTCCATCTGAGACTGGAGACCACTGTCGGTCGTGTTGTTGTTAGAGATGTCTTCGATTTTGGTGTCAGCTATGGAATCGGATTGTGTGGGCGAATTCTCTGCTTTCTCGGAGATGAGACTAGATATCTCGTCAGTGGCCATCGATTCCACATTGATGTCTGGTGTGCTCCCGAGAGATGATTTCACGGAGGAGGCAATGATTGGTGCGTCAGGACTCCGTGTTAACTGGAAGTCGTCCATCTGAGACTGGAGACCACTGTCGGTCGTGTTGTTGTTAGAGATGTCTTCGATTTTGGTGTCAGCTATGGAATCGGATTGTGTGGGCGAATTCTCTGCTTTCTCGGAGATGAGACTAGATATCTCGTCAGTGGCCATCGATTCCACATTGATGTCTGGTGTGCTCCCGAGAGATGATTTCACGGAGGAGGCAATGATTGGTGCGTCAGGACTCCGTGTTAACTGGATGTCGTCCGTCTGTGATTTGAGTGCACGCTCTGTTACGTCCTTGTCAGGATTTTCTCCTGGTTTTTCTTCGTATTTGCTTGCGTTTCTTTCTAATTGTCTCTGTGTTGTTTGATTTTCTCTGACACTATTTGTTTCGTCGCTGTTTTCTTGGTTTGTATTTGTGTTAAGTTCTTCTTTGTTTTCTTCGTAATTCTGGTTTTTTTCGTGTTGGGGCTCTTGTTGATTTTCCTTTTTTTCCTTTTCTATTATTTGTTCATTTGTTAGATTTTCTTGTGTCTGTTTTATTGTATCATCCTCCACGTTGTTTTTTGGAGTATTATTATTTGTCTCGTCTACTGTTTCTTCTCTTGTTTCTTTTTGCACTTTTTCTGTAGAAGAAAAATTATAATCTTTGATTACTTTTGTTTTTATCCTGTATTATTCCTAAGATTTTTCTATTAGTTTTGTGTTGTAAGCTTATTTAAGTAAATTTGTTCATATCATGTTTTATTTGAAGTTCTGGACTTGCTAAGTAATATCTAGTTTGTTTTCAGTGTTTTTTGTGTAATGATGTTTTTTTTATTATTATAGAATTCTTAGTATTTTTATTTATGTGAAATCCATTTTTTCAGTTTTTGCCTTTAGAAGACGAAACGGTGCCTACTGTGACTCTGGTTTTAAAATAACTCATTTCGAACTCCTCGCTTCATCTTTTCTAGTGGTTGTCCTAGTAGACTGATTCTTTGTTAGGGTAATTGGCATGCGAATTGACTTACCTTCCACATTTATTTGAGGATACAGTGACCATATTTAGCAACATTTGTACGCCGTTTCAGGTCGTTTTGTTCAGGATTTGCCGTTGGTTGGTACAAGTTATATGATCTGTCACTTAGTGATGTTTAACGACACGAAAAACTGTGAGTAGGACACGTAGTAAGCAAGTTGAACTGACCTTTAGAACTAATCACTTTTACTCTTGAGGCGAACTTCTCTTGACTGATTAAGATCAATCCATCAAAATTGACGGATAGTTCCAGGTATTTATACTATTCTAGGCTCCTAATGCACTTAGCTGAAAGCAATTATCCTTGGATTTTTTAAAGAGACGTGACACTAGTCCAACTACCGTAAACTATTTGAGCGAATATAAATGCCTCTACTGTTAAATCTTCGAATAGTGCTTTGGTAATACATGTGTGAGTCATTCAGGTATCTGTATTTTATCAATGAAGTAAAATCATATGTTGCTATCATTCTTCCTCCACTTTTTAAAACACGTCAGAATCACTCGTTGAGTAGCAGGATGTTTCTGTCATTCATACAGTTTCTCTTCTATGAATGTATTTATAGCTTCTGTGGTGTATCGCTTTTCAGTAGTTTTATAATGACTTTCAGAATAAATTTTGTAATAAAGGTAATAGGCATCCGTTTTAGAAATTAGATTCCTTCTGCCTTACCGAAATACTAAAGTCAGGGGTTTCCCACTAAGGGACTCAAATTATATACACCTAAGGTTCATTCCTACAAGGAAGTAACACTTTAGTCCTTATCTCTAGTCTTAGTCTTTCAGTAGAATAGGATAAATCATCATTAGTCTGCAGTATACAACATAAATTTTTCTCCAACTTCAGACGTCATGTAATTCACCTTAGTAACCTTCGGATACGCTCAACTAGATTCAGTCACCTACTAGGTAGTTCTTAATTTCATTTCGGTTTCATTAATTAAATGTATTTATTTCTTTATGAACAACTCGTCGATTAGATAAGTATCATTTTCATTAGATATATGCTATCGAGCAAATAATATACAATCTGACTTGTGGGTGATGTTTTCAGCTAAACATCATTTGACTCTATCATATTCCTAAAGTTCCCTTATTCCATCTACTGTAAAGCTTTTCCCAGTGAAATCAGATTCACAGACATTAAGTGCCTGTTAACCAAGTTTATTAATTCATTTTACAAGTTCAAATGAAAATCTTTGGTGAATTCAGTTACTAGCAGGTAGATATTAATACATGTGATACAAAACAAAGTAAGTGGAAAAATGCAGTTAATGGATTCAATCAGTAAATAAACTATACAATCTGTTTGCTGAAGCTATTTTGGTTCTTATTAAACCTAAGTGCTTAGTCGAATGGTGATTTGATAAGAATATGGTGTCACTTTGTTGATGGTGGGAGAATTTAAATAGCTTCCGGAAATAAAATTTGTTACCCATTACATTAGAATGAGACTTAATTTGTGAATTCCGCTGGTAGTCACCAGCAGTCAGAAATGAGGAAGTTTAGATAACGACTGCAGAAAACAATCCAGTCTCAATAAATAAATTAAAAATGACAGGGATAGTTGTTCTCACACTATAACTTACCTTCTTCAGCTTTAGATAGCTGAAGTTCACTAGCTGAAGAAGTAGGTGCATCTCCAACAGTACCACCTGCAGTTGGTCTTTTTTTAAGTAACTTTGAGAAAAAATCAGCAAGCACACCGTCCGAAGTACCACTGTTTGGTAGGTTAAGCGATGAATTTCCCTGAGGAACCTTTAAAAAGTAAACAAAAACGGATAGATGATGCTGGTTTTACTACAAAAAAACTATTGGGCACAAATTCCTGCATGGCATCGGAATTTGCAAACCACTTTGAGTGCTTTACCAAATCAGAGTGATGTAAACATCATACTGCTTATTATTTCAGTGGAATAAACACATTTGGCAGTTGATTATATCAACTGAAACTGGCAAACTATCTTAAATGGATTACTAATACAATTAGTTTCCATGGTATTATTATTGTTATTGCACAACACTTGTTTATCTTATGCAGCACATTTAATTAATATATCTTAACGGTTAATGTGAATTAATTCAGCATAAACCGAAATTTATGAAGTTTGCATATTGATGCACTGCTGTTTGTACACCATCCACTCATCTCCCTTGAAGCTGCATAAATTACCTCCATTCTGTGAAAAGGCATTACAAATGATTTGGCTTAAATTACATATACTTAAATAAATTTCACTTATTTTAAATTGCTAACTACTTATCAAAAGAATTTTTAATGTGATTTACTATTTAATGCTCAATGAATTGTAATAGTTCAGTGTCTTAGATTATATTTCCTAGAGACTATTTAGTATTTAGAATGCTTGGAAAATTAAAATGTCATCAAATGGAATTGTGAAACCTGAAATCAAAAGGATATCAAAATGTTGTGTACACCTTACTTTAGGGCGAAACATGTTAGTTGGACTGTTTGGCAACCGGTTACCATCGTCAGCAGGTTTTATAACTGGTACATTTTTTGAAGTATTTCCCGATTGTCGGAGAGAAGAATCTGGTCCACTAGGTCCTAATAAATCTTTTAGCATACCAGGTTCTATATTCTCTTGATCTTTAATCATTGACAGTCGAAGAAGAAAGGCCTAAATGAATGTATACGAATAGCAAGGTTAAATTAAAGAGAAGCGAAATATATGTAAAGAGGATGTAATTCACTCAAATGTTTCATTAATTTTCGCGTTTAGTTTTAACTCTACGCATAATACGGCATCAAGTCAGCAGACTGTCTACCTACCTGACACTTCATCTCAAGACTTCTGTATTGCTATTTTATTATAGGTAATGTAGTTTTCGGTGAGATATCTGGACTCCCTTCCACCCCTTTGGATACTACTATGCTTCAGCGCTAAATAGTTATTTCCAGTTTGGCTTGCATCAAACCGAAGAATAAGCCAAATACTCGTGAGAAAGAATAAAACAGTCAGGAAATTTTTATTATTTGCTCTACATAGGATACCTTCTTCCTGGAGTTGACCCTGAATTCACGGAAGTCAGATTTAAGGTAATTACGTGAACTTATATTTAAGTATTCCAGAACGTTTAACGCCGTTCACCAAAGATAATGATTTGTGATAAATTCACAAACCCTCCTATACGACACTGTTTATGTTCCCATTCTGCTGCAGCACAGTAATTGTAGGGTTGATGCCTTTAAGAGATATTTGGTTAATTTATGAAGACAATACAATACAGCAAAGAAATTTTTCTTTTTCAACGACATCATCCTCAGAGACTTTACAATTGTGTTTATTTATACTAGAAGCATATAGTAATCTATTAATAAGTAATATGGGGGTGACAAAATTTATAAAATTACTCAAGAGGAGTTTCTAAAGACAAAAAAGCATAATGGTCAACGACACAGTGGAAGTAAGGGTTTGAATTTTGACAAGGTGAAAATTGTTATTCTATCGAAATTCAAACCATTACTTCCATTGTGTCGTTGACTATTATGTGAATTTCTTTGTCATTAGAAACCACTTCTGAGTAGTGGTGTACTTTACTACAACCGGACATTACAAGAATTTAGATTGATTATTCCTTCTTGTTGAAAAACTTGAGCGATAATCACCATTTCAACAAAAAAACTGTCGCCTCGATATCACTCAACATATTGTCCTTGAAGCACAAAAAGTATATTATATTGATGGTGGTTTTGGGGAGTGAATCATAGGAAATATTCTATGCACTTCAGTGGATCGGAACATATCCCATTGCCTCTACCAAAATGGTTCTGCAGTCCTTTATATCCCACCATTTCAGAAATTATAAAATTCCCTTCATTTTACTCTTTCTTTAACAGTATTTTCACCCAATACAATTTATTGAGTACTGAAGCAGTTCTTAATTGCAACAGCGGACTTGGAGCTTATTCGCTTAATTATTTGTCTGACAGTTAATGGGTTCAAATCCCGCTTCACCTGCTTCAATCTCGCCAGTTGGATAATTTCACCAGTCCTCATATACTAAATGTTACTCATAGTATGATGCATAAATGAATGTGACCTAGGTAACTGGGTTTTTGATAATAAAATTTTTTCAAAATAATTTGTGCTTAAAATTGTTAGTTCTCCGGATAACAATATAAATAGTGTATAGTCTTATTTTAAGACAATAAACTTCTTTGTTAACTTAGAAGCAGAAGATTCACATAACAAAATCTGAACAATTGACCTAATTATACAGGAAAATTCACACAGAATCCTCAAGTGCAGACTCAAGTTTAAGGACAAATTTCAATCATATGATTTATTCCGTGTACAAATAAGTGCTCTTCTCACATGAACCCAATGCACATCATTCATGATATTATTCTACATTACAATTAATTTTTTGTCGTGCATTATATTTATAAGTTTTCACGAAATCAAGATATATCAGCTTAAGGTGTTCTAAATATTATATTCTATATTATAATATTATATTCATAAAATTGCTAAAATGTTGTCTCAAGTACGCCAAACTTGAAATGTGTTTCAGCATTCAGAATTTAGAATATTATGCTGAGAATTGTTTAACATTTTACAGTTCTTGTGTTTTACAGTGTACTCGGAGTTTAGTCTCACCTTGCAGAAATTTTGAAAAAAAAGGAGAAACTGTTTGCTTCATCTGGGAATTTCAGTGATTCAGATTTTGAGATACTTTCAAACAAAGGAAAAAAGTATCTCCTAATATTCCCATTCAGCCCACTTTGTAAATCTTCATTATGAGAAATCTAACAAAGTCCGCTAACATTTTATTAAACATTTCTAAATTAAATTAAATAGAATAAATTGAAAGCTTCCAGTCATGAAACACTGCTAGAAACTGAAAATCTGAACAAACCAACAACCTTAGTTTACAGGGAAATCTATTAATTATGCTGACAGTTTAACTTATTCAAGTGTTGGTTTGTAGGGATTTGATTGGTTACAGCATTTTCATCATGAGCTGACATAAGTAAGAGAACCAGTGGGGTGCAGCAGGTCGGGTGTGAGGACAAATACTCGCCGAAGACATTGGATGGGGTCGTGTTATGTTGTGAATTGGCAGAAGTTAGAATTCGTGGGCCACTGAATTGGGTCCCAGTGGCTTAATGGTATATGAGCTCGCCTTGTAACCTGAAGGTTCGAATCCCTGTGGGTGCGTACCGCTGAAGAGTCCCAAACTAGGACGAAACAGCTATCCAATACTCGCAGGTTTTCCAATGGTTCTCCACCTAATGTCAGTTTAACTTATGTTGACAGAGTTTTCTTTCAGTGTTTCTAAGTGATTGTTTTTGATGCACATAACCATCTCCTGTAAATCGGTAGCATTTTAACAAACTAACTATTTTCCCTATTATGTTGGGTAAAAAACAGGTTGTTTCCAATTTTCTGGAATCACCTGTTACTATGTTACTTCTTGCATTTCCTACTGATTGATTATGTTGGAGGAATAGTGACTAGTGCCTGTCACAAAAAAGTTATCTCTGTGGTCTAAATGATTATACTTTGGCGTTTGAAACAACTGTTGTATGGTCCGACTCTTATTGGGAACATCACCAGTCACTGAGAATGAGGGTATTTCCAGCTTACGAGTCTCAAACAGAAAGAAATCCATATCCTGGATTTGACTGCTGGTCATCACCGACAAAAATAAACTCTGGAATCACCTATTCAGTTAATTTTAAGCCGGCGTTACTCTTATTCATTTCTTTTACCAAAAGTTATTTTGATGATCTCTATGAAGTAAACGTTTTTGTCCCTAAATATTTGAATATATCAGCAGTTAAATAATTATGACTAATCTATTTTTCATTAGAGTTTGGACAAAATAGCAAGTTTTAATAATAATTAATCGAGCAAAAGGGATGCTTGTGTTCAGTTCTTATTCTTCTTTTCACTTGTTCAAATATCCACATTTTATCTCTGACGAATAAGTAATAAAATGCAACCAACGGGTTTAATTCTGTTGGCATATTTCTTTCATTTAGTATTCACACCAATTTTCCAAGTAGACAAATAATCATCTGACAGTAAGATGTAACTTTGATCCTGAAGTGAACTATGAAAGCATCGGTTATTTTTGAGAATGTAACATTACACTTCTAAATTCAGACACCAATATACAGACTCATGTTTCCAGGCATCAATAGAATTAAATACCAACAAGTTCCTTAAAACAAAACAAAGACTTTAAAATTAACTGCGTTTACAGATATTGGATGACTTAAATGGTGCTAGTGCTTATTGCCTATTAAACGTTCAGTAGATTTACATTTTATAATTAGAGTTATTATTACTCAGTACTTACATGAAATTATAATAAAATTTACAGCAAACAATATGTTTTCCAAATAATCCGTTGCTAGGACATTCAATGCACAGATGATTATGTTGTATCACAGTCAAGCTTAATTTCTATCTGTTGGAATAATGTTATTTCGTCAGTTGTCTTTGCCTTCTTTTATTCAAGATTCGTTAATAAAGCAGGACGAATTAATTTGAGCATATTCTTATTTTACATTAATTACCGTTTGATTAGTCTCAGTTCTTCTAAGGTGCCTGCTGATCGTGTCTTCCTAGTTTTAATACTTAAGTAAAGCTATTATTTGTTAACAGTAAATTATAGTGATATGAGAAGTTAACAACTTCGTCAACTAATTGCTCAACTGCAGGCTAATGATATTCCGCACAGAAATTTACTGATAAATTAACGCATTCAGTAGTAATGAGATGCGTATTCTGTCGAATGCTGTGCATAAAAATGGAATTTACAAAGTATTTAGATTAGCTACTGGCAATATAACTCAGTCGCGGTTGTTTAAAAATGATTTTTTATGTTGTCAGTTTTATCATCTAAAATGATTACGTCAAATGGGATAAGGGAGGAGGTAGTTCAGTGACTACTTCTTTTCTTGTTATTTTCTAATGATCTTTATAAAATTGAAATAAGAAAAATAAATGAAATGTTAAGCAGCATACTCTGCTAGGGATTTTTGAATAGTTATATATATATATATATATATATATATAACCTCGCCTAGACTACCAGCTTGCTATTTTTCTAGCCGGTCCCAAGCCCGGATAAAGAGGGAGGGTTGGGGCGTGGTGCTAGCAACTCCACCCCTGTAAAACAACCAAATCGCTACAGAAACTTCAACGCACAAATATATTAAAAATTCTAAAAATTAAACAATAACCTTATTTTTCGCTGGAATCGGGGAAGTGAAATGACGCAGGCTGGTGAAAGCCTTCGGGAAGCCAGTCAGCCGATGTGCCTTCTTTCGATGAAAGCAAAAGTAAGGATGGGTACCTGGAATGTTCGTACAATGTACGAAACTGGAAAGGCTGCCCAGATAGCCGCTGAAATGAGGAGACATAGAATAGAAGTGTTGGGAATCTGCGAGAGCAGATGGAACGGAACTGGAAGGTGCCAACTACCTATTGGGGAGACAGTAATCCATTCCGGCCACCCAGAGGACAACCACGAGCACACCGAGGGAGTGGCCATCATGATGTCACCAACAGCAGCCAAAGCTCTCATGCAGTGGGAACCAATCTCCTCCAGGATAATGACAGCCAGGTTCAACTCAAAAGGAAGGAAAGTTACAGTCATTCAATGCTATGCGCCTACAAACGTCTCAGAACAAGAGAAGAAGGAGGCGTTCTACAGACAACTACAAGCAATAATGGACAACGTCCCAAATGGCGATATCAAAATCCTGATGGGCGACATGAATGCGAAGCTGGGAGGAGACAACACAGGAAGAGAACTCACCATGGGTCGAGAGGCCCTCGGTGAAATGAACGACAATGGTGAACTCTTCTCAGACTTCTGCGCCTTCAATGATTTGGTGATTGGTGGCAGTGTGTTCAAACACAAGGATATACACAAGACGACATGGATTTCACCAGATGGAAACACCAAAAACCAAATAGACTTCATCTCAATTTCAAGAAAGTGGAGACGGAGCCTACTGGACACAAGGTCAAGGAGAGGAGCAGATGTGGGTTCAGACCACTATCTAGTACAAGGGACTTTCAAGGTGAAACTAAAAGCCTCGAGGATAGCTGGGGATAGGCCACAATGCAAGTTCAACACTCAGAAACTGAAGGACACAACCACAAAGGACACTTTCACTGCAACTGTCAGAGCAAAGCAGGAAACACTACGCGACATCACTGAAGAATCATGCGTGGAAGAACATTGGAAGTCTCTGAAGGCGATTCTCAACGAAACGTGTTCAACGGTTTTAGGAAGAAAGGAGATTCAAGACAAGAATGGCTCTCAACGGACACTTGGAAACTAATAGAGGAAAGGAGAATGGTGAAAGAGAAAATGATTCAATGCAAGGACGGACAGGAGAAGGAGACGCTGAGCTCAACTTACACAGCACTGGACAAAGAAGTGAAGAAGAGTGCTAGGAAGGACAAAAGACGATTCTACGACAACCTGAACACTGAAGCTGAAAAGGCAGCAGGCAAAAGGGACCTGAGGACATTATATCAGATAACCAAATCTCTATCCGGGAAGAGATCAACACAAGCGAAACCTATAAAAGACAGCCAAGGGAACCCAATTACCAAGGAAGAAAGACAGATTAAACAATGGGCGGATCACTTCAAAGGACTCTTGAACCGACCACCACCTGCAACCCGTCCAGAAATACCAACAACAGCACGTACAAAACTGCAAGTTGACACCAATCCTCCAACGAGAGCTGAAGTCTTGAACGCAATCAAGCTTCTGAAAGCTGGAAAAGCAGCTGGACCAGATGGAATACCCCCTGAAGCACTGAAAGCGGACCCAGAGACGACAGAAAATATGCTGACTCCATTATTGCAAAAGGTCTGGAAGGAGGGAAAGGTGCCTACTGACTGGAGGAAAGTTACCTCGTGAAACTACCAAAGAAGGGCGACTTAGGTTTTACTCTGCAAGAACTGGAGAGGAATCATGCTCCTGTCGACGCCAAGTAAAATCCTGTGTCGCATCATCCTGGAGAGAATTAAGGATGCGCTGGATACAGAACTCAGACCAGAACAAGCTGGATTCAGGAAAGGCAAATCATGTTCTGACTTTTTTTTTTTTTCAAATTGCATCACCATCACAGAACAAAGCATGGAATGGTAATCAAACCTCTACCTCAACTTTATAGATTTTGAGAAGGCCCCTGACAGCGTTGATCGTGAAGTAATTTGGAAACTACTCACGTACTACGGCTTACCCCAAATGTTCATCAACCTTATTCAACAGCTGTACGACAACGGCACCTGCCAAGTGATCCACAATGGAAAACTCAGCGAGGTGTTTGGAGTAAACACAGCAGTCAAACAAGGTTTTTTTTTTTTTTTTTTTTTTTTTTTTTTTTTTTGTGGTGGACTGGATTATGCATCAGACAGTGGGAAACGAGAAGACAGGAATATCCTGGACAGACGTGAAGAACCTAGAAGACCTGGATTTCGCGGATGATTTATGTTTGATGTCACACAAAGCCGAAGACTTCCAAGCGAAAACCGACAAACTGGTCGAAGAAGCAGACAGTGAAGACAGGACTCCAGGTGAACATAGACAAGATGGAGGTTATGAAAATAACCACCAACAACAACATTTTTTGCAACATCCAGCCACAATCACCATCAACGGGAGGGATTTGAAAGAGGTTACTTCATTCACTTCCCTAGGGAGCATTGTCTCAACTTCAGGTGGAACGGATGAGGATGTCAAATCGAGAATCGGGAAGGTGAGAAACACATTCATCAACCTGAAACAATCTGAAAATCTTCGTCACTCAGCATCAACAAAAAAATTCAGTCGGATTTTCAATACAGACGTCAAGTCAGTCAGCTCTTCTATACGGATCAGAAACTCGGCGGGCGGGCGGGTCACAAAGAATATTTCCAACAGCCTGTTGCATGCTTTCATCAACAACCATCTTCGCTGGCTCTATGCTGAAGATCAGATGGCCGGGCCGGGCCGGAAAGAATCACCAACAAGAAACTATGGGAACAAAGAAAACAAAACAAGAACCAATCGCCCAAGAAATATGCAGGAGAAAGTGGAGGTGGATTGGACACTCGCTGAGGAGACCGCTGGGTGACATCGCGCTTCAGGTCCTCGAGTGGAATCCGAAAGGGAAGCGGCGAGTGGGATGTCAGTGCAAGGGTGACATGGGGGAGATCGTGTGAAGAGGAGTTGAAACAGTATGGACTAACATGGATGCAGGTGAAAAGTCTGCAGAAGGAAGACAGAAGCAAGTGGAGACGTGCAGTTGAAGCCCTATGTCCCAGTAGGAACCCAAGGGAACAATGATAATATATATATATATATATATATATATATATTCATGAATGATGGCAATAATCAAATTATCATCGAAATAACACTAAACGTTATGATGTAGTATCACGTACCTGTTCATCTACAGGGACTATCTCTGGTTCTCTGTTATTTGTTTTACGCGGTATTGGTCTTGGTATAACTGCAGAATAGGGGCTTTCTGGATTAATCGTAGTTAAGTTTTCACCCAAGATATTTATTTTTTTATGATTATCCCAGCCTGCCGGACTTAAAATAAATTAATAAACAAAAATTCATCCATTTTGTCACATTCACATGCATAAATAAGCGAAAGAGAAGTGGGTTAACTTCTTATATTGCATGTGATTAGAATAACTTTTTATATTCACTAGTAGCATTAGTTGTTGTTGGTAATGTGAATGTTGCCTTGGTAGTACTGAGGCATGTTAAGCTTTCTCTAATTTATGTAGGAGACTATATATGGTGAATTTTAGGTAGCAGGAGAACATATTTATTAACAATTTGGAATGCAATACCTTGATTACTGGAAAATTCTTGATTTATGAAAGTATATTTTCTAAGAGTGGATGAGCGTTGTGGTTACGTGTTCCAGGCTTACTACTTAGTCTTTATTGATATTTTTAGTTCTAAGGGTTAATCAGATTACTGATTTGACTTATAACCTCATTTTTTCTTTAAAGAGTTTCATTAAAGCTTTTAGTGTTTCCTGGTTTAGTTAGCTTTTCTCTGTTCCTTTTTTTTAACACTTTCGACTTATTTTAGTTTTTTGTATTTCCATTTCATATTTTTTCTTGTATTTTATAGTATTTTATTTGAAAATCTGATGGTTAAAGAAAGCATTTTTTTGTTTTACGATGTTTTTCTGTTCTCTGAGCTGACTTGGATAACTTAATAGCTAAGGTTTAATTTCCTTCAGGACAATAATATCTACAACATTAATTTGAATGTGAAGTGAGCTTTGAGAATTCTTCGCTGACAAAACATTTATCTCTCCTGGTGACCTGTGCTGTGACTGGTTATTCCCTTATGACCTAACGTTTTTGATTTGATACTTAACCTTTTTGTCGTATGTCCTATTTTCTAATGATTGATAAATGTAATATATCTCCACGTGCACTTCATTCAGTAATAACTAAAGACCTCAAGGATTAAGAATAATTCGTGTAGGTTTCTCTCAATGCAGTTCTATAATGCAAGTTGCTTTTATGCATTTCTTAAAGTTGAATATACTTAGCTACTTTTAGCTTTAGTTATCCATGGATATGCATAAAAGCAGACTGAAGGAAGAGCTATCAGGTAAACAACTACTATTATTCCAATGACCTTCACCTATTCTGAAGATGTCACTCAATAATTTACCATAGTGAATATTTTCACGTTATCTGTTCATATTGGGAAGCAAACAGAAAGCTGTTTGAGTAATTCGGATCTATTCGTGGAACGTAACTGTATTTTTTTATATTAATACTCTACCATTAGCGCTACAGGTCTTCCCATTACCTTTAGTCAAAGAGTTCACCAGCTGCTACTAAGTGACTTACACTTGCTTTTAATAACATAGTCTATCAGAGAAGGTGTTAAAACACACTTCCTCCATAAGTATTCTATTTCCTCGACGCACTGTTTGACGCTTAAAAACTCTTTTCTCAATGAAAAATCTCATGCCATACTGAGTGAAATCCTGAAACTGTTCTGTTTAATATTTGTTGAAGCTTCTAAAAGTATAGCTCACAAACAGACTAAAATGTCGTTTTTCAACAATTCTTTGATTAAAATCGAAAATATGATGATATAGTGATAAATGCAGATACGTCGGACAAAGACATTTATGAATTCTCCTTTGTGCTCTATTTCCTATAGACATATGTCTACAAAAGAATGTAATGCGATTATTAAGCTAACTGTTGTAGAATCATAATTAACCCTGTCAGGTTATCATTAAATACAATTTGATATAAAATTGACATCTATTTTGTCGATAGATAATTATTCATCACGGAACAAAGAATATTCTTTTCGATAACTTTACCGGGTTCTTAAGTCATATATTCACAATAATCAAAGAATTGGAGTTATTAACAACGTTAGTGTTTAAATAACATCGAATCGACAATATAGATAGATATAGATTTTCTTAACACTCTGGGATTAATTTAAATAATTTATAATGAATCAATCTGACTCGGCGCTCAAATTATTCCAGGAAATTCGTAACATCTACCGTCTGGAAACCTATAATATAGATAGATTACAGTTCAATGGCATCTCTAAGCATAATAATATGCATTAACATAACACTTCACTGAATATCGAACATATAAGAAAAATAAAAATACAGAACTCATGAATTTGTAGACTACACAGAATGTCAGCGCAATAGTAGTGTTTGAACGTGTTATTTCTGCACACAGAGCACTGGTTTCTTCACGTAAATCTCAATAGCCTCTGCTGTTTTGAGTAATTGGTACGTGGATGCTTCTGGCAATTTCTTTAGTACTCAATCGATGATATAGAAGGATTCTTCAATGCTAGATTTGTAGCAGTTTTGGACCGGGTGTTCTGTCTATCTAGCTGTAGATGTTTTTACCACGCCTTTGTTTAGCCACACTGGTATGTGTTCCCGAACATGAAAAGTCAAGTTCCTACGGCAACGGCTAATATAACTCGCTCCACGGTCACAGCTGAAATGATAGATACTACTAAACGTCGTTAGTTTAGGTACTTCATCTTTCAGTTGAGGAATCACAACCGGTCGTGTAGAAAATGAGACTTGTAGTTTATTGGTATTAAAAGTTCTTTGAATATATTTTCTTAACATCCTAGTGATTATTTCATATACCACGCCACCCTTGAATTGCAGATACGGATTAGTCGTTTTCTACTTTATTGGTTATGTGTTTCCTAATAAACTTTTCTGGATAGCTGCCTTCAATTAAGGTGCCATACACAATCCTAAGTTCATCTACACTTATGTCTTCTGATGATATAGCTGTGACTTTTTAGCTGACGGTCCTTATTAAATTCCTTTTTTTATAAATTTGATGTTATTTAAATGTTAATTTTATTAATAAATCTAATGCTTTCATTTTTATGGATATACAACTGAAGGATTCGATGAAGTTATCGAAAAGAATATTCTTTATTCAGTAATCAGTCTTTTGAAATTTCTAATGAGCATTTTTGATCGATTTACTCAGTAACTTACACGAAAATACAGTTGCCTTCAACTACATATGGACTATGGTTGAAGGGAAGTCCGTAAAGACGATGCTGAATATAACTTTTTAGTAGGTCACAGTTTAGGTCCTCTTTCACTGATACATAAAATAACGCCGCTCCGTCTACAAAAAATTTGGAAAAGAAACTTACATGATAACGTTTTAAATACCAGTTGTCAAAAATTTATTTTTAAATATTTTGCAGGCTATAAATCAGAACTAAATAGCAAATTATTATCATGCATGTTAAGAAACATTCATTGCTTAAAATACTGAAGAATATGGTAGGTACAGCCTTTAGGTATGAAAAACTATTGCATCAACATGTTTCATAAGATGACGTCATATGCTTCATATCCGGCAATAATGCTATCTGTCTAATAAATCCAAATTAATATATCAGACTGTAGGTGACTTATTTTAGGCGTTTACTCTCCAATCATTGTTTCTCAGTTAGTGTCATTCACCCCTTAACGCATCAGACAAAGCTCATTGTTAAGTGTGGTGATTGATAATTACTATCTCTGTATTGTTTAAACACTTAATGTTGATTGTTAATATATTTCTTATATGAACTGAATAATAATTCCACCAAATACAAATTCCTGAATTCATCCCTCTCTGTGTTTTGGTTGAATTCTTGTAATTCGGTCATCTCGAAATACTAATCCTACTATTACAAAAAATTACAACATAAAATTAAACGAGATACATACTACTGTTGATTTTGCACCAGATTAGACAGTACAACAATAAATAATTCCTCTAATGGTGAATTTTATTTGATGACCAAGTAACTGATAGACCTAATATTTCCTTCTTGCAGCCATTTAAACGACTTGGTTTTACTAATCTAACTGCAAAGATTATATTTATATTCAGTAAAAAAAACAACAGACTGAGCAAAGCAATCTACTTCTTTTCAATTAGTTGTTTATTTATATCTGTAAAGTTTTAGAGATCAGTTTTATAATATGCATATGCTTTTCAAAAGTTGCTATTCATAACTTCTAGTGGCACTGCAAAAAATATCATTGATTGAGATATCAAGTCAATAGCAGAACTAAAAGTAAAAAAACAAAAGACGACGAAAACAACTTACACGTAAGACAAAATCTGCGTACATGCATTTGTATAAAATCAAAATGTTCTTCAGTATATTCCTTCTCGTTGACCATAGTTTTCATTAAATCTGTCTGTAATAAGTGATATCAGAAAAAAACAAATGTTTTTCTGCCTGTGAATTTATAAGTTAAAAAATTATTATTATTATAATTATTGCTATTGAAACCAACTCTCTTATCTAACAGTAAACAAATTTGTTTATACATCAAAATAGCCAACACAGTAAGTATGAAAAAAGAGGAGAATTTGAGGGTTGTGTTATGTTTGAAAGAAGGCTATTATTATTGTTTGGGATAAGGTGACTATTATTATTATTATTACCATCGCATACATACATTGTTGTCTTTTCAGCTTAAAAATGAGCTCTATGTATACGTTAAAATTGTTTCTTTATATTAGCCAAATAGTATTTTTACGCCGTAAGCAGCTGATGAGAAGCCAACGAAATAAGCAATAATGGTACTATTTAATTCTGCACAAACTGTTGTTCCTGCTTTATTCACACATATTTGCTTTTGGACTGTAGCGTTTCTGTAGACGCTTGGAATTTACTAAATTGGCAAACGTTACTAGGATTGTCTATAAGGCATATCTGTTTTTAAAAAGCCACTTACGTATAAGTGATAAGATTATTTGCATAACTAAAGAGTTCTTTTTCTGCAGAATACTTAATAATAGTTAAAGTTCGACTTAAATAAAACACAGTTTTAAATGTGTTCTGAAGTCGTAATACGTTCCTCAATAGCTTAACAAACCAATTTTTTACTTCTTTGAGTACCGATCGGAATATAATGCTTCAGTCCTTAAGCTTTGAAGCTTCAGTAGTGGTGTTTTTACAAGCTGGGATTGTTAGCTTCACTTTCGACCCTTTCTCTTTACGAATCTTAGTACTAGCTAGGTAAGTTTTCGGGATCTGTCAGATGGCACTGAATGACTGACTGCCTAGTTTCAACGCAGAACTTTGCACAGATGTGCAGCAGTTCGAGTCGTCACACTTCACTCAGCACACAAAGCCAGAGAAGAAAGTAAAAAGACTTGCTCAGCCATCGGTGTTTACCGTCCCAACGACCCCAACCAGGAAGTCCACAACTTGCTACGTAGCTAAAACTAACTGTTATGGATTTTATTGACTAATGGCATGTTTCGGTTTGACTTCAAGTGGCTTTTTTCCAGCCTGACTCTACGTCAGCTAACATTACCCGTTGAGGACGGCTAGGTATGCGTCGGATGACAACCTAGCCGCATGGGTGGTTGGAGAGCATTCAACTCCTAAACCGCCAATAGTGATGATGGGTTGAAATTATCAGACGTTTGTTTAGTCTACTAACCAATCGGAAGAAAGTATGACCCCCTTTAAACTAACATGACTGGGAGGATGGCGTTAAGTTGGTTTTTGCAAGTAAAGTTTGAAGCCATATGAAGAAGACCCACAAATCTGAAAATCAGTTTAAAAAGAGGAAAACTTAATTTCCAACTTAGTTCATATCTCGGCTAATATGTCATCCATTTTCATAAAATAATAAATATAAGATATGATCACACAGATCTTGCTCTCCTCTCTGCCAATTCTATTATTGCATCTTCAATTGTCAGTATACCTTAAAATTGATCGTTTCATGTTTTTGCTTCTGATAAAAAAACAACTTCACAACATTATCTTAATCTGTTGCGCTAAAAAAACTGGTGTTAAAAAAATCAATAAAAAGTAAGTAATGTGACTTTTACACTTAAAGCTAACTTTCTATTTTATCCGAAAGCTCATTCAATTAACAGATATAGTATTTAGTTTGTAAACGCTTGGCAGGAGAAAATTCTTAAGTTTTGCAGCTGAATTACCAAGTAAGGTAATCGTCTAAATGAAATGCATACCTGAAACTTGGAGTCAATTGGTGACCAGCAGTGGAATCCAGGATGCGCATCTCGTCCTATTTGTGACTTGTCATCTGGATGTACCTACTTTCCCCAGTGAGTGATGGTGTTCCAACCGAGGCTCAAACCAAGTGCCAATAGTTTAAAATGCCTAAGCACTATCAACTAGACCATTTAGGTCACGAGAGCCACCTCTTGTACAATGGGTCTTATCATTAATCATTTAATTGAATTTCAGATTTCCCCATCGATTGATTGGACCGAAGTGTTCCGTCTCAGGTTGACATGTGGGCTCCTTGTGCAGATGTTTCAACAATATCTGGTCATGTAACTTGAATTCAATACTTAGATGGTGACTAGCAGTGGGATCCAGGAAGCGCATTTCGTTCCATTTAGTACTCGTCCTCTGGATGTACCTGCATCACCCAATGAGTTACATGAAGAGAAATTGCCTAAGCATCTGCACAAGGAGCCGACATGTCAACCTGAAACTGAGCACTTCGGTCCAATCAATCAACGGGAAAATCTAAAATTGAATTTAATAGCATTGATGTATGTCAGAAATATTCATTAACACAAATATTTCATCGTAGAATTTAAAGGACTCAAAGGAAGATTTTCGAAGGAAGTAACTTCTTACACTTATCAGAGCAACATTGTTTCACCTACAAGCAACACGGATGAGGATGACAAAAGCAAGATAGAATCAGAAAATCGAGACAGATTTACATTAATCTGGAGTCAGTATGGAAATTTACTACGCTCAGCATAAGGAACAAGATTTGGATCTTCAACACTAATGTCAAGTCTGTCAGTGCTTCTATATGGTTAAGGCGTTTGCCATCAGAGTAAGCAAAAGCATTCTCAACAGTCTGCTGTGAATTTTTACCAGTAGCTTCCTCGCTCCACAATGAAAACCACACGACCAAAAATATATAAAAAACAAAAAACTCTGGGAACGAACCAACCTTGAACCTATCGCCCAACAGATATGTAGAAGGAAAGGGAAATGCATTTTCTATACGCTGATGAGATCTGTAAGTGAAATCACTCACAAGACTGTTGATTGGAGCTCAAATGTGAATTTAAAAGTTGGGCATCTGAGGATGATATGGAGGAGATCGTGTGACAAGGTATTGAAAGCCTAAGGGCGATCGTGAGGCCAGCTAAATAAAATTCCACAGAACACGATGAAATGGAAATGTGCGATTCAAGCCCTTTATTCCATTTGGAACCCAACGTAATAAAAGTAATACTTGTATTTTCGAAACAGTAGGTGTATTTTTTAAGAATAGAAAAGTATTTGATATTTACTGTTTTGAGAATTTTCGTTCGTCGTAACTAATTGTAAACTCTAGAATGTTTTGTGGATGATGGATTATTTTTCTTGCCAAACACATTAATTGGGGAATTATTTTTAATCCTTACAAGAAATAATCTGACAACAGAATTTAAAAGTACTCATTGAATAAGTCATGTCGTAAATTTTTTTTCTTAATAGGTAGGTCGCCTCCAATTAAAATCATTAATGTGTGCATGTGAATACTATATTCAACTTGGAACCCAATAGGAATGATAATAACTTGATGGATGGACTGTTTGATATATTTTGTACATCTCAATGTAACAGTAATGTGACTTACCGTGTAATTTAAAGCTTTGTTCGATCTAATGAGCTCAGAAGGTTAAACATTTACTACGTCAGTTGCAGTCAAAAGACAAATGATCTATTGGTATATGTTTAGGTTGAATGAACTGATCCCATTTAAAATGATGACTGGAATAATTTTGAACATAAACTGATGGAGAGTGGCAATGAGTAGTGAAAGTAGGATAAGTGGACAAGTAATCTGTACCGGGTAATATGTAGTATTTGTTTCTTACCGTTAATTAGGCTTTCACTAAAACTGTACTGATTAATGAGTTAGAATTCAGTTCTGATAAAGACGTATAGTGCAAGAATGAAACATCGACGCATAGTTAAACTGGCTTAATCAGCTGTCGCGATGTTTGTTCTCATTCTGATTGTGCGTTTCGGAATCGGCCTACTTCTTTCCGACTTTTGAAAAATTTGAAAAAGCAAAAATCATCAGAACCTGGTAATTCTCTGCCATAAGTTTCTACAGAAGGGCATAGATCGCCTAATGAAGAAATATACAGCTTTTTGCGTACTGTTAATTATCCCAGTTTCGATAGTGGCAACAAAAGAATTATCACTACTAAATACTTAAAAACGTATTATCTATAGAGGCCACAACCTAAAAGCAACTATTAACATAAATTTAGGCACGTTTCAGCTATGATTTGTTGATCAGATGCATTTTGTTGAAGTCTGCCATCCAACCATTTGGAAGTTAGCTCACTTATTCGTGTGTAAACAGTACTGGGCTTTACAAATCAGGGAATGTCAGACTATGTTGGAAATAACGTAAAGTTATATCGGCTTAATAAGTTTTTTTTTCTAAATGTCAGTTTGCAATACGCTGACACTGTCTTCCACAAAAAAATACCATAGCTAATATGCAACTGTATTATGTGTGTGGTAATTAAAAGAATAATTCTGCAAATCTCAGGGATTGATTTCTAGCCGTAGTATCATCTGGTCGACATAGAATACGACAGTCGTACAAGCACTACATAGGAGAGGGTGACAGATGTATTCACACTAGTCCCCTTAATAAAAAGTAGACATCTTTAGTGTGTTTTTTCTGCTATTAGAGACAAGATTCTACTAAATGTGTAGTAAGAAATAATGTAGTGAAATGTTTGTCATAAACTTATCGCTAATAGATGAAAAACGATCACCGAGGTGATATATTGTCTACGTTTAATAACTTCGAAATTTCGGAGATTTAATTAAGCAGTGTATCTCTTGTCGCTTTTTCTGCACCCCTTTTATTTTTGTGTAGGTGGTTTTCGGTAAGAGTGTTGACTAATAACAGGCTAAACGAACGTTACAAGTGGTTGGCTAAGTAGATATGTTCTCACACCGGATAAGTATCAGTTAACTGTACTTGTGTAATCTTAACAGTAGTCGTGATATAAGAATAAGCCTAATAAAATAGCTCCAGTTCAACTATAAAATATGTAGACAGTATGATGTAATTAAGAATTTTGGTAGCTGTTGCATACTCAGACAAACAAAATGCATAGATTCGCTGTATAATCAATGACTTCTTAACACAGGTTATGTTTTTATCCTGTATGATAGCTACTTTGTCATTATGTCTATTTTTTGTTGCACTTTTGCCAGGTGTTTATACTTCAACAGTGGCATTTTTATGAAGCGTTTTAAACTGACAAAGGTAGGGTCAATCAAACTATTGACGTTTCACAGCAGTGATTACTGTTGAAAGAATACAATTACTTGAAGTTTGTAGTTCTTTAACAGTGCAACGATGTTTTATTTATTCGTCATTCATTACAATTATTATTCTGTAATAACATATTTTCTCTAAATGAAAACAGTCACTAAATATTTAAGATGTATTCATTCAGACAGTTGGTCACTTTTAGAGTTTGGAATCCATAAAGTTGGAATTCTAATCCCTCATTGGTAAGTTATTTAGCGGATAGCCGAAAATTTTAAATAGTATCTTTAGATTCTTCGATGATTATCTCTTTTACTAGCACTGAACGTTTCTCATTATAATCATATCCCTTTGTTGGATCATACATGAGCAAGGATAAATGCTGACTTCTTATCATCAACAGAAGTTAGTACTTGTCACTTTATTAAATGTACATCATACATTCAAAGACAAGTATTTATTACACATTTTGAGCGAGCTTTACTTTCATTAGACTAAACCTAAGTAATGCAATACCATAATAACATGTGATAAACCAATATAAGCGTTATGAGATTGTTATAATTATTTTTTATTCTCACTTATAAATTTATATACCACATGATTTGATTGAAGGAATTCAATTCTTTTGGTTATCTTAATATATGTTTACCAATAAAAACCTGTGAAGCAAATTTATTGATATAGATTGGTTTGACAATATGGTTCTTAGCCAAAGGTTTTATGTGATAAAGATACACGATTAACGCTTACTACTAAGTGTTTACTCACAAAACTTTCGTGCCAATAGAAGTCTATAACAAGATATGTCGATTTGATGTACCATAGTGTTATAAAAAATAATCATTTTTAGTTTGTTTAACATCTTTTTTGATTAAAAGCTTGTATGAAATGGATCTATAGACAATTGTTCTTTTTACAGATCTCTAAGTTAATGTAACTTAATATTTTTATCACAACTCCTGCAACTTGAGTATCTGTCATGCGCCTAACTTATTGTGCAATGGATGAGACATATGATTGATGAAAACGAGACAGTTGAAAATAGGCTTACGTTTGTGTTGTAAAGTCAGATTCAGTCACATCGAGATTAGGACAAGAATTCCAATTAACAGAGAGCGAAATGGAAAAGCGAGGAGGTGAATTTTCCCTCCCAAGTATCTCCTGTTGCCGAAAACCCCATTCGCTTAACAAATGTTTTGGATTCGGAGAGAACTTAAGTTGATTTAGTAAAGAAATGATACCATTCTATAAGTGTCTCAGTACAACTTCATAGACGTTTAGGATAAGTGGATGGTGACTAAATGTTATTACTGAGAATTGTTCACACACGCTGTTCACCAGTATCAGAATTCTGAACATCTTCGTTAAATTCCAATAAGTGATTCTGTCCCACTAAATAAAGTATTTTCGTTTTCATTCTTTCTTACTCTGCTTCCGTTTTTAGGTGTTTTTAAGTGGTTTATTGACGCGGAAAGATTCACTTACGTATCAGATTCTTTGCTGACTGGTCATCTGTCAGAGGTTTGAACAAAAGCCGTAATATTATTGTAACAAAACTGAATGGTGACTGTAAAGTCAAAAGTACGTCATTTCTATACATTTTTCTTTGGGATATCTCGCCAAATAAATGAATGTTTGCATATTGATAACTGTATGTATTTCGTATAAACTTTAGTTTGTCTAAATCAAATGGATTATCAGGTTACATCGCATGTATGTTATAGATTTGACTGCAGATAATATTCCACTGGCTTCTGATCTACGACTTCTGCTGACTCACCAACCAGTGCCACTTATGAAATGTTATCAGTGAATGTCTAGACTCATGTTCAGCTCATTGGGTTCCAGCAATCATTGGTGGTTATTAGAACCGGAGAATATATATGTCACAATCATTTACTTATGAGCAATGGATTTAACTAACCTACTCATTTTATTGTTACTTCACTGATTTTAGGGTTCAATTCGTCTCAAAGAAGTGAAAGAACAACTAAAAATGAAGAAGCACTGGACAGCTAACTTATGGCGGTGCTGCACTGGGAATTGGCAGAAGCTAAATATCAAGAAGTTCTTGATTTATCTCTAGCGACTGAATGGTTTCAATCCCTCATGAGGTCTTTGGTGTGGATTAATGAAGATGAGATAAGTGCAATGTGTCACTCCATTTCCAGTGGTCCTCTCTGCTGATTTCGTTTAGCTGAAATAGTTGGTCTTCATATCAATAGGATATTTAATAATCCCAAATTATACTCCGTTTACGCTAAATTTCCTAGCCCTGAGGCCGCTGACAGTTACTATTTCATATTACCATACTTAAAAGTAGTAGTTGTGGGAAGTGAGTCAGCATCAATAATAGAACCTTGGTCTCACACACGTTGGTACTAACTAAAGAGAATATGTAATCCTGAGGAAAGTCATTTCATTTTATCTACACATAGGTACATAGAAATGAACATATCTGTTACCACCTGCCGATCAATTCATATATATTTAGAAATACTAAACGTTAGGTAAGATATTTGAACGTTTTAATGAAATTGTTCTTTTCACTCTTAATTCAAGGTAAAGTAGTATGTACCCCATTTATAGCGTGCCGAAATGTAAAGTAATTAGGGTCTCTGATTGTTGTTTATGCAGAACCAGGATTTCTCCTTTTAAATCAATTATCTTTCAGTTGTAATAGATGAGTTCGTCGGCCAAATAATTTCGTAAATAGCGATGAATAAATAGCGAAGAAAATACTAGTTTTTACAACGCATACTTACCTTTGTCACAACAACAATGAGTGGTACACCGAGATTGTTATTCATTACGTTGTGCTCATGAATTTCTTCTGGATATGTATTAGCGTAATGTGCAGGTGGTGATTCAGGTGACGTTTCGAATGATGTTTCAGACATACTGGAAAACGAAAAGGAAGCTAATTTTACAGGATTGGTGGCTGCATTAGCAAGCGCCTCCGGTTCCAGATAATTGTAAAATTCCTTTAGAACTAAAATGTAAATAAAAACAGAAAGACAGTCAAAGATTTACAAGCAAGTAAATTAAATGGATGTATCTAGTGACAGTGTCTCTCAATGTGTCACTAGATAACATGTGTTAAATTCTGTTCAGCAGCACTTCCGATTGAAAATCCTCCTTGCTTGGTTTTTTAGAAAAACATGCAACTCAGATTTGCAGTTTGATTTCAACCTATTCAATTAATTGAAAGCTGACCACTTAAGTGTGTCTCTCAGCTTATCAACCAAGCGGAAAACTTCATTTTGTATATTGAGGAATAAGTGTTTCAGTGCCACCTTTTAATTGACACGAGTAACTTCAGTTTTGGTACTCTTTATTACTAATAAATAGACAATATGACATAAGTTATATTTCCTCATCCGATCAGTGTTTACAAAACATTTCACCATAACTAAGAAAATCTCATTAATCTGACGTCTGTAACAAAATTCAAAAATTGCATAGGGTTCAGGCAAATAAATACCTAGACGAAGATGAAAACATTGTAACTAACATAGTGGTATCTTTTAACTCGATGATTGAAAGAAGTTATTTTATACAAGAACGACTTCTGAGAATGCCTCCATAGTATAGAGTGACACTTTCTGTTACGTATTGGAGAATGAAATAACTACACCAGACTCAAAAGTTTGATCTCGTTTGACTTATACTGTTGCATTGTTTCGAAGAATTAAAATTTATTTCAGGCACTGAGTTGTTTCACCATAAACCTATGGTAAATTATATCAATTCGGTTAGTCACTGTCTCGCAAAATGTCGTTTTGTTATGTTCTGTTTGAGTAGTGGAAATCGCTTTCAATATGAAGTTGTGTGTATCTGTAGTCTTTTCATATTATTACGAACGTATGACATTACAGACGGTTCTGAAATGGCTACCAGTTTAAATAAAACACATTTTTTATTTTCATCCAATTTCTGTACAGTCCCATTCTTTAGCCATACTTGTATATTCAGTAAAGTTACTGTCCATTAATTTATAGTTACAGAATATTTTACTGATAATTTCGGACCAAGTTTTTGAAAAATTAATGTTTCTGTAACTATTTGCATGAATGAAGGTAGTAGATTAGATACTCAAATTTCAAACACTGAATCATCAGTTTTACATAACCTTTCCCAGGGAGATTTGGAGAGATAGTTAATGTCAACATCCTCAACAACATAAAGGTATTTCTTTTTAAGTGTGTTAACATGTAATTAGTAATTCTTGTAATGTAATATAACACTTTCATAGCAAGAGCGTTATCGAAGGCACACACGGAGTTTGTAATACATGTTTTGTGTAGTGATTTGAATGGGTAGTGGGCATACTTACGGCTGTAAAAGCTGAAGTTGCGAAAACTGTCTCCCTTTTAAAGAGAGGTAAAGTTATATGATAGTGTGACTGATCAAATGGCAATTTTACTGAGGTATAACTGTTATGTAAAGTGTATTAGATGGGTGACCATACTTTGGAAAAGCACGCATTAAAGTGGAAAGAAAAAATGTAACAAAAATACAGGCGATATAAGGGTGTGGAGAAACAGGTAATTAAACGAACATTGCTGGGAATATTGAGATTTTAGATGACAGGGAAAGTAGAACTTTGATCTTTTCATTCCTTAAAAAAGGAAACAAACCCTTCTGTGATAATCGTGAGGAATTAGCTTGATTAACATATTATCTAAAACTCTAGATCCTTTGATCTTCAGGAGGCATTGTAAAGCAAAGCACGAAAAATTCAGGCATGGACAAAGTTAGGAGGATCATATCTTCACATTCCGAACGATTATGTTAGATATGCAGATTTGCAGGTGTCTAATCCTTACCATATTCCTTGCCCAGAAGGTGGCATTCGGCTCCACCGATCGAGAGATGCTTTGGCAGTGCAAGGCCATGTATGGAGCAACAAAAAGTATATTGCACTGTGCTCAAGCTCATGTAGACTTGCAAGAGCATATGAAGAGTTATCGTCTGAAGTGATGACAACCAATTATGTTAGTTATGCCAATGCTTTTTATATTTAGCTCTATTCTGATTACACTTATGGAACTACTTATAGTCCATATCAATAAGTAGAAATAAACCTCTAATATGTTAAAATTAACATTTTCGAATGCCTGTTTGATAAGTGGTTCTTCGAAAATCGCATCAAATTAAAGTTTTTTGACACAAGAATAATATTTATTTTTTTCTGAAGATAACTTCACAAAACTAGCATTTATTTAACAAACAAAGTTCGTAGTGTAAAGGTTCACTGAATTCATGATGAACGCAGTCAACTTTTCAGTAAAAATTTGCTGCTCATTGTCAACTTATATTTCTGAATAGTAAGCAGTTTGATCGTCGCTCCTCCCTTTTATGTAGCAATTGCATTGGAATTTCATACATACCTATAATAAGTACTATTTTGGAAGAAATTGAGCAGTATTCATGTTCAATCATTACCTTATTTGTAGCCTTTATTCCATGTATTGATTTCTGGTGCATAATTTATTGGACGTATATTTTATAATTGCAGCTACTTTCACGGTGACAGGACTAGCAAGAGCTAATACCTGCTAGTTAAAAAGAACTTTTCTGAAGTACCGGGAGGTTTCTGTTACTAAACACTGTGATGACTGTGAAAATTGATCGGTTGAAATTTTTCACGCTTACAGATAATAAGCTGTAAAGTATTAGTTGTGTAGGGATTTTATTTTCGAATGAGTACATCTAAAACTATTTAAAAATTGGATATTCTTGCTATGTTTTTATAACTCCATCAAGTCAGCTGTAAATTAGTTTAGGTACTCTTCCTCACACGACCAAGTAGTCTATTTTCTCTTGATGTTTTGAAAACAGTTTGTTAAAGTTTATGCTAGAAGCCAGCTAGATGCTGTTTCCCATTAAACTTCTACTTTAGTTTTTTTAATTTATTGACAGAAATTTAAAAAATACCATAGTCCATCAAGATGCAAGTAAAGGTTGGTAAAAATAATCCCATGTGGCCCACAAAAACTGCAGAAACAAGAATAACACTAAGTAGAAGTCGCTTCTTGAAACATTCAATATAAACCAGATTTAAACCACCATGTTTGATATATGAAATCAAAATCTGCTCTTGGTACTACATCCGATGTTCGTAAATCAACCAGTTGTAAAAGCCGAAAGGAGGGAATTGTTGTGTTATCTTCTAAGCTGTATTTACTTAACTATGCCGTAAAATGTTCACCATAAAAATGTAGAAAGAATGTAAAATACAACCTGGATACAAGAATTGTTCCTCGTTTATTGTAAGCTGTTGCAAACAACGAAATTCTGAGTAGTAGAAGACCCTATTATGCCTTTTCGATAGCTAAAATAATTCTGTGAGATTCATACGGATCAAACATATTATATATTAGGACAAAAAATATAGATTACACTCATTCCGAGAAATCGAAGAATTTTTAGTTATTGTTGATTAAACTTTTATGAGGTGTACTTCAACATCTTTTTAATATGAATCCAAGACATCACTGAAAATATGCGCTTAACAAACCGAGTATCTAAACTCTTACAACTGTTTAGTTAACGTTTCAAAATTATCGGCCTAATTGAACGGTAGACGTGTACCGAAAAATTAAGGTTTATGTAGATATTATCTTGTCGGAATAAACATAAATCGAAAAAACTTTTGAATCAAAAATTAGCTTTAATAAGTATGCAAAGAATAAAATAGATATATGAGCTAATTTGACGGTAAGATAACGTGACGTTATAAAAACTGTTTCAAAACGGATGCAAACTACTTACTTTTCGATTTACACGTCTTCAGTTTGTCCTCTGAGAGTTTAAGTTTATCAATGTGTTTTGCGAGTATATCTGCCCATTTCTCTAAAGTTTCAATCATCTTCCATGGTTCTCTAATGCTGACGACAATCACGGCCATTTGATCGTCGAAGGTGTCCTCAGTGATAGCATATTTAAGCAGATAACTTTGAACAGGATTTCCATCCATAATACACACACTAAGGTTAGTGATGGCATCCCTTGCTTCATCTTTTATATCTATAAGAAGATATTCCAGTCCAAATCCTTCCTTCATATCTTCTGATCCTTGAAGTCGAGAGATCAGTGTTGATTTTCCACACTTTTCGTCCCCCAAAACAACCAAGTTTTTTGAAGATGAAAGACCAGCTGATGCTTTGTCAGTGACTTCATGAAGAAGAGTAGACCTAAATTGGCATTAAATTTAATTCATTTCTAAAACGAACCAGAGACATTTGACGCCTTGTAATTCACCATCTTTTTCCATTTCACGCATTCTTCATGAATATAGTAAATTCTATCACGGTAACGTACAATGTGTTTGTAACACTTCCACCAACGACCTTAACAATTAATCCTAAAAATTACCAGTCTGATTGAAACAAACAAAAATCAGTCACCGAAATCCTTATTGAAATGAGTCCGTTTGTATTAAAAGTTAGTGATTCCTTGTAGTCAGCCAGCATGCACTGGTGCACGAACAATATTCATGGTCTATTTGACTTAAGCTGATTAAACGTAATTAACATGTGGAATCATACAGATATATTACTAGACACTAGTCGATCACGGGTGCTTGTCATAAAGATAATAACTACCAATATACTCCAATCTATTGCATGGCTTTTGTATTTAATTTTTAATATACTGTTTCTTGATTCCAGAAAAAAATTCCTCGGATAAAAACCATTACAGACCGAACTGATATTTTTGCTGTAGCTTCTCGGTTGCAAATTAAGGTTCCCTAGTCTTCTGTAGACCTTTGTGCAGTATTTCCTACCACCCGACAATCGTAGCCCTGGTTGACTGGAAAAGAAGTGGTGTGGGCGCTTGTTATATATGCGGGTTGGGGATAGAGTGTGTTAAGATCTTGTCGCTATTGTGAATGCAGTTGAAGTTTCACTCGTTAGTCGTCCAGCGTGAAAGAAAAAGGATAATTGTCAATGTAGTTGAAGATTGAACGATCAATTCATTGTTGTTTGCTCAAAACCAACTTCCCCAATTTTCGCGGAGGCATCAATACGACAGTCATCGTCTCATCGGTCTCTGTTCAGAAAGAAGCCAGCAGAAGACCGTCAGAAGTAATATTGTGATTTATTATTATAATATTTGTTCACAGACCTTAGTAGAAATATATTTTATGTGTTGGTGTTACAATAAAGAATTCTCAAGCGGCCAATCGGTGTTTTGGTTTTTGCGTCCGTTATTACTAAGCGTTTCTGAGAAGCTTCAAGCGACAGCTTGAGCCCGAGCGTAGCAAGAGCTGGGCATTAACGGTTTATGAGACGTGGCTGATAGTTTCTGACGGTAGAAACAGATTCTGGCCGATTCAGATAGCTGGTAACAGTTTCGATAGTCACCGTTCATCCTTCCTGGTGCCGGTCAAGTCCTCTTTGAACAAGCAATATCTGGAACCTTTTTGGAATTGGGCCAAGTTCAACAATGCCTGGGTCAAAGAAGGGACAGAGTGTCTTGGATGCAAACAGGGAAGTAAGTCATGGTGACTTGTCTGTTAATTGTAACGATGTGTCTGATGTTAAGCATGACATGGTTGATGTTACTGTTTCGCCGTTCAGGGATACTAGGAACATCAAACTCCCTAAATTTGAACCACGATGTTTTGATGGAAACCCGGCTGATTATTTACAATTTGTAAAGGAGTTTGAGATCATGCCGAGTGGTTTTTTATTAACTGATGAAATGAAATTGATGTATTTGATGAGATATTGCACTGAAGATGCTGCAAGAGCTATACAGTGCTGTGAGCTCATGCCCCCTGATGAGGGATGCGCTGAGGCTATGAGCATATTACGTCAAAGGTTTGGAAGACCTTCGATGATTGTAGGGAAATTATTCGAGGCTGTTAAGGGTAGTGGTGATCAATTACAGGATGACTCCCAGGCACTCACTGAGTTTTTAGATAATCTTATGACTTATAAGAATACCTTGATTGAATTGATCGTTCAATCTTCAACTACAGTGACACCTACCAATCACTCTGTCCACAATATCTGCATCAGTTTACCCTGGTGGTAGTGGTGTTGGACCGATCTTTGCGGTTTTCGTCAACACCAGATCCGTTCGGAGAAACTCAACGGGATCTTTTCAATCAAAGATTCAGACTGCATTCCTTCGATTGTCTTCGGCGACACTGAGAAATATCTGAGGATGCATACATATCAGGTGAATTGATTTTACCTGTGGTGAACGTTTCTTGATCTCAGGGACTTTTCGGAAGGGGGTGATTTTTTCACTCTCTCACTTATTTTTGGCTTGTGTTGTGTTAGATCTACGGATGAACTTTATATCAGTTTATTCCGATGAATTTTAATTTACGTTTCAGTTTTGAGCCATTTTTATTATAGGAGGTTGTGTTCTTATTACCTAATAGCTATATATACCCACAGATTTATAAAGATTACACATATTAAGTCATGTGTATATTATTTTGCAGCAATTTGCTCTAAAAGCATAACGATCAATAGGAACAGCTGTGGAAGATTTGTGTGCCAGTTTCCAGTTGAAGATGAAATGCAGTGTGATGACAGCAAGAGATAATAATAATAATAGTATATTCTCATTTTGTACATGAGAGACGCCAGTTTACAGGCATCATCAATATGATAAATTACATATACGATTAGCAATCATAATTAATAATAATGTTTTAATAAAATACACATTTTTTCCTACTTGTGTAGGACACACCAAATATACAGGCATGGGTAAGCATTATTTAAATTTCATAAATACGGTTTATGGTTAAGTTACATGGTTGCTGGCGTTATTGTCTTAGGTCTGTGGGAAAAATATGATAACCAGTCGTTCAATGGAGCACGTCATGAAATATAGGAATATTAACTTCGCATTAACAAAACAACCCAAGTAAGTTTTGGATGGATTAAAAATACTTGGGAAAAAATAAAGCTTGAAGTTATTCCACAATATAACAAGTCATTCAATGGGGCACATCATGAAATATAGGAATATTGACTTCGCATTAACAAAAAAACCCAAGTAAGTTTTGGATGGATTAAAAATACTTGGGAAAAAATAAAGCTTGAAGTAATTCCTCAATATAACTTGGGTGTGTACAAATCCGAATCTTATTTTTGATTTGATTTATATCCAAATTGGGTAATAAGAAAGCTATTTTTACAGATACGATCAGTTATGTTATACGTTACAATCGTGACGTTGTATTACAAATTGATACTTTTCCATTGGTATAAGAGTATATTCCACAAATGTAATCCAGGTTGCGTCGTGGAGAAAGTTAATTCGTTATTAACCAGGCAACTGAAAGATACTGGACCAATAATGTTTGCAGATCATTTGTCGGCAAAGTTAAACTTTCGACACCACTAACAACCAATCAGAAAACGACCTTGAACGGACCAGTCACATTAAAGAGGCATATATGATGAATGGAAATGTATATTTGTAGAAAAAAGCATAAAATAGAGAATAAAAAAGTTACATGGGATATCTTTCTCGAACATGTGACAGAAACATCTCCCAGTTTAGCATGGGACTGTCAATGGAGGAGTTACACCATATCCTATACATATATTCATCCAAATGACCATATATGAGATCCATTTATAGCCCTTATCCTATTTTTCAACCCACCCCAAAATCCTTCAATAGAATTTGTATGTGTCCTCGTAACGGGATCCACAAAATCACTTGAATGGTTGACTCTATGATGAATATATCCCAGAGATGACAGTGAATTGTAGCCTTTCCACTTGTCGGTGTGTATAATTGACCCCCGCTTAACAAGTCTGGTAATAATAGGTATAAGAGTAGTTGCTTTTCTATCTGCTATCCTTAGGGAGAGAAGCGACCTACCGAAAAAAGTTCCTACGAAATATTAAAATTATCAGCTTACTCTCTGCAGCGTTAGTAGGCTTCAAACATATAGCACAACGATGAACAAACCCATCAGTTGATTTGGTATGGCTTTTTAAAGTCATGATACCACCACACAAACAAATTCGCTCTTTCCGGCGCAACTCAAATCCAGGAAATACTGGAAAACGCTAACCTCTTCGAATTGCAACAATCGCTTTGTAAGGTCACGCATTAGAAATGAATCAAGCGCTATAGAACATTGAACTGCGTTCGTGAACCTCATTGGATAATTCGACATCGTTCGTGAATCTCATTGGATAATTCGCTGATTGGTATTTAGTGGTGCCGAAAGTTTAACTTCGCCCATTTGTCATTGTAAATGGTCAAATATCCACATTATTCATTCTCATTCAAAAAGTCAAATGGAAGCTGAAATGGTGAGAGAAAAAAGAAGACAAACAACAGCAACGCAAAAGAAAGCAACGGGAGTCCTTAAGGAGTGATTAATAAATATATACATATATATTCTGTTTAGTAACTGTGGTTATTTTGGTACACAAACTAACTAGTCCCGTTATGCTAACTTTTATATTATGTGTAAACTAATATTACTGTCCTGTGTAGAAATGTTAATCATCTAGTTCCAATAATATTAAAATTTATAATTGTAGTTTGTTGTAACTACACGTTTAAAGAACTTAAAATATCTATGTAGGGTGAAAAAGAAGGTGTAAGAGTCAGGCGCAAAAGTGCATTGTCATCTTTGAGCAGTCTGGTGACTGAGGAGATGAACACTGGAAGTGTGTTTGCATCGCGCACATTAGCTGGTAGTCTATTCCAAATGACTGAAAACTTATTTAAGAAGAAGTTGTACCGCACGTAAGTCTGACAGTGCTCCATAGCAGCTAGGTTGTGATGATTTCTAAGATTGTAACTGATGACAGCGGTAGGTTTAGTTATTGGCTCGGAGGAATGCAAGAGAAGATTAGTTAGCTTATAGTAAAAGATAAGGTTTAGCTTAAGGCGTCTTTTCCAGAGGGGTTCTAATCTTAGTCTTTCGCATCGCTCATGGTATTCCAGACCACTTTCTAAACCAAGAGTTCTTGAGGTAAACTGCCGTTGCACTCCCTCTAATTTAAGCTTGTCATTTTGTCTTAGTCCGCTAAGAATAAACGGGCAGTATTCTAAGATAGGTCGGACACATACTTTGTATAATAAAACCCTAGTTTCACAACAAAAGAAATTGCGTGTTATGCATCCTATCAGCCTTCGCGTTTTACGTCTGGCATAATCAGTCTGTTCAGCGAACGTTAGGTTACTAGAGTATCTAATACCGAGATCTACGACTGAGTTGAGCTTAGCTAGTTTTCGCCCATTTATTTCAAGAGTTAGATCAAGCTTACTGTTGCCGATACAAATCCAGCCGCATTTGTCAATGTTAAAATTTAGACAGGATTCAGCACACCACGTTGCAAGGCTACTTAGTTCAAGATGTATTTTAGTAACCATATCGCTTAATTCATGAGTGTAGCAGGAGTAGACGACTTTGAGGTCGTCAGCATATAGGAATGGTTTGCCTAAGGTGAAGCACTTGCAAATGCTGTTAATGTAGACTGTGAATAAAAGTGGACCTAGGACACTACCTTGCACGACCCCACTTGAGATCTGCCTAGGATGAGACAATACAGATCCAACTTTGGTTATTTGTACCCTGTTGCTTAGAAATGATTTTAACCAGTTCAGTAATGGGTTGCGAATTCCACAAGAGTACAGCTTCTCAAAGAGAATACTGTGAGATACCATGTCAAATGCCCTAGATATATCGAAGTAGAGAACAACGACTAGCTTACGTGCTTCGCGACTACTAGTGATGCAGTTGAAAAAGTCGAAGTGGCAAGTAACGCAGGATCTATTTTTGAGAAATCCGTGTTGAGACCTTGTAACAAGATCTTCCCTAATTAGGTAGTCTGACAATTGATCTTTTACAACTTTCTCCATGATTCGTGAGATAACTGGGGTTATATTTATGGGTCTGTAATTGCGGACGTTTGCCCTATCACCAGATTTGTAATGTGGAATTATGAAGCTAGTTTTCCACTCACTAGGGTAAGTGCCAGTGTCCATAGATATTGAGAAGAATTTAAGAAGTAACAAGGGTATATCACACCCACTGTTTTTGAAAATTATCGAAGCGAGGCCATCCGGTCCCGTACTAGTGGAAGGTTTAAGGCTTTTAATTGCTTGTACTATTAACTGATTAGTGAACACAATGCTTTCAAGGGAAGAGATAGTAAGGGGAGCGGTTTCACCAGGCATATGTGTTTCTAAACTAAAGTTTGCAAACCAATCACTGAAGAGTTCACAGATAGTGGCAGGTTCATTGTAGATTACTTTGTCGTGAAGTAAGTATGGGATTTCCCTCGCCGACTGCATTCGTTTTTTAAGAAGTGCCGTTAAGTTATAAACTTTGGAGGTACTTTCAAGTGCCGTTAACTCTTCGTCGAGGTCCTTTTGAGAGCGTAGGCGCTTGAGAGATTCAAGAGACTCGTGGATTGAGAGCAATAGTGATATGTCCTTAGTGGAATAGTACTGTTTCTTCAGTTTCCTTAACTTATTACGGTGTGCCCTTGGAATATATTCAGTTCGGTGTCTACTTAATTTCACTATTTTCTTTGGAGCAACTGTATCTAGACAAAGGGTAACATTCCTGTAAAACAGGGTTACTAAGGCCTCCAGGGAGTCAGTGGTAAAATAGTCATCCCATTGACAGAGTCGAATAAGTTCTTGGACTAATCCCCAGTCTGTATATTTGTAACTACGACATATTGTGCTTCCTGAGTCTTGTTTGTTTCCTGTATTTAGTGGTGAGAAAGGCAGAGAGCAGAGTACCATTCTATGGTCACTACTGGAAAATCGATTACCAACATAGTGGATACTGGGATTGTGTCATGACAAAAAACAAGGTCCAACATGTTGTCACCACGAGTAGGTGTCTGGACGTGTTGTTGCCATCCATAACAGTCTATAGTGGCAAGTAATTCGTCGAAGCGTTGGGGGCCGGAACTAGTTAGCCAATTGACTTCTGGAAGATTGAAGTCCCCTGCAATTATTTTGTAATTAGCACTAAACGAGGATGCGTGTGCAAACGATTTAGCTAATAACGCATCAGTTTCTTTTGTTGAGCTTGGTGCTCGATAAACACAGCCTATGAGAAGTTTGTACTTATCTCCATGTAAGACAACCCAGAGTGAGTCAGGTACATTATTCATTGTTTCATCTTCCACCTTACTGACTACAAATGAGCTATGTATATATATGAGACATCCTCCACCACGCTTGCAATCTCTGTTTGCACGGTGTACAGTGTAATCATCGATACCTATATGCACATCAAGTACAGAGGATGAGCACCATGACTCAGTAATCAGAGCTACAGTAGGCTTGGCGACTAATAATAATGTCCTTAGTTCAGATATCTTATTGATTAAGGAACGTGCATTAATTAGCAATATCGTGAATAAGTCACGGGATACTACAAACTGGCTTAAAATGTCACCATAACCTAAATCTATTTGTGCGTCAGCACCGCAAGAATTTATGAATGAAAAGGAGGTCGGACTGGGTGTCTGTACATCGGGTTGGTGTGCAATGAGGTGGTCCTAGGTGCCATGGGTCGTACCAGTGATTCGGGACACCTGGAAAATTTACCATGTGTTCCTGGATATAAGGGTAGTACAGGTTGGGCCTAGGTTGACGGTTAAAAGGCATAGCATCAGAAGGTCTACCCATCCAACTGCTATTCGTCATACCGGTATACACCTTCGGGTTGTTTTTATAACTTAAAGGGAATTGTGAAGGAAGGTGCTTTGGCTGCAAGACTTTAGGAGTCTTGGAGCCTGACTTTCTATAAGGTGGAGCATGCGGAACACCTCCAGATATACTTATGTTTCGAGAGGAGTTTTTCGTAACAAGTGATGGTTTGTTGGCATTCTTACTCTCAGCAGGCTTATTGAATACAAAGTATTCTTCCCCATCATTAGTCTCAACCCTGCGAAATTTGTTCATCGTGGTGAGGTTACTACGTTTGGGGGGAAATTTCTTAGAACAACTTGCAGAAGTTCTAGTCATTTTAACATCTTTCGATGAGGCTTTATTTACAGGGGTACTGGTATCTAAATCAGTTCCTAGTTCCATTGGCAGGTGTGGTTGTTGTGTAGTTTGCTGAATGCTAGTTTCAGCACTAGGTGTCTGTTGCTGTGCACGATCCTTATTTGGTAAATCAAAGCTAGAGCTAGAGGAGGTGACCAGGTTATTACTACGCATTATTCTGCGCTGACACGGTGTTTTATCCTGAGCTACGGTTATAGACTTATAACTGCTATTCAGTCTTAAGTGATCCTGACATTTAGTAAACTTACTAGCATCAAGGGAATTACTGAATTTAAAAATGATTGGGCAATTAGCCTGGTTAGACTTTTTACGAAGTCGTTTGCATTCACATGGAACACTAGCCATGCCGCAACAAATCAGGATTTTGTGTCTTACAGTTTTCAGGGGCAGAGAATCTGGGACGTTGTAAACTATAGCTTGGTGAGAAGAGGTTATACGCTTCATCACCTCCGTAGCCAAGCAGTCAATCAGATTTTCAGCTTTATTTAGGTTGTCTGGAGATATTTTAGGATGCCTTTCTAAAAGACAGGCTATTGGGTCTAAATTCAAAAGCTTATTTTGAGTTACATCCAGTAAACACTTAACCTGGCCAATATCAGAACGGCTCTCCGTGGTATTTGAGATTGGCAGTGACATACTATCAAACTGATCTAATTTTTTCTGAATTTCACTTACTTGCCTCTGCATATCTTTCAAAAGGAGGTTTAGTTTACAGAACTCAGAGTTCTCTAACAGAACATCTTTCACCTGTATCACAGGAGTGAGATCTGCACTCAAACCATTTTGAGAGCTAGTAGTTGATACTGTATTACCAGGCGGTAATGCAGTTATAACCGAATTTGAGCCACTATCTAAAACAATTGTGTTTCTACGAACACGTTTTTTAGAGATTTGGACCATAATTTCAAGAATTATATGACAATAAGCAGTAAATAAATTTCAGAGCAAACACGTGCAAAAATGTCACCAATTTCGAACGTACCGCCAGATGACTAAAGGGATTTTGTCTGACTTGGAGCATCCGCTTTACCCTCAGCTTTCACCTTGCATCTCCTAAGGTAGAACAAGGAGTAACTTCAGAAAACTGTATTCTCGCACGTCTAAGTATAAGTATTCTATGATACCATACTTGGCACGTATTTTAAATGATGAAGATAGTGTCAGGAAATAATTAACTAACTTTTTTTCATCTAGTAAATAAACAATTTTCTCCATCCATCCTTATATACCTTCAAGTTTTACTTTTATTATTTCTATTATATTTATGGTCCTGTTACTTTTTTGTTTTACTCTCATAATTGCAAACACTAACCTATCTCCATGACTGCTGTAATCTTTGTCTTTCCCCACACCATATCATGTAAAGAGAACATTATATTCAATATTTTTAAACATGTTAGGATTTCTATACCAGAGTACCAATACTGTGCGAAACAAGCCCACTGCAATTTTCACTTGTATTACTATTATTACCGTAGGTGTTATCATTATTATTGTTATTTCCATTTTATATGCTGCATGTTTTGACACTTACTCTATTGTAAATGTGGAACATTTTCTGTGTGATTAATATTTGTTTATAATTTGAGGAAATTAGATGCAATATTGTGATTAATGCTGGAAATTCCATTATGTATCACAAGTACTGTTTTTGGAATAAAGTAAATCATTATTATTATATGCAATGATGTGTGTGATTTTAAGCATGATAAGATAGATGTCCATGTTTCGCCGAGTAGGGATGATAGAAACTTTAAATTCCTGAATATGAACCTAGTTGTTTCGACAGAAACCCAGCTGACTCTCCGCAGTTTGTAAGGGAGCTTGAAGTCATGTTGAGTGGGTTTGCAATAAATGATAAAATGAAGTTAATGTATTTGTTGATGTATTGCATTGGAGTTGCTTCAAGAGCTATCCAGTGCTGTAAGTACATGCCCCGTAACGGAGGGGATACTGAGGCGATGCGTATCCTACGTCAAAGGTTTGGAAGACCTTCGATGATTGTAAGGAACATATTCGAGGCTGTTAAAGGTAATGGTAGTCAATTACACGATGACTCCAAGATACTCATTGAAATTTTGTATAATCTGATGACTTACAAGAACGCACTGATTTGGATGAATTGCATGAGTGATTTGAACTGAAGTTCCGTCCTAGAGGTAATAGCGAGACGCCTACCTACTTGACTGCGAAGGAAATGGGTGAAGATGAGCTCTTGTGTAGAGGATGAAGGTATCGAGCCAAAATTTGATGATATCCTGAAACTAGTAAAAGATAGGGTCAATCAATCTATGAGCAAGTTTTCCAGTCTATTAGATCTCACCCCTAGAATAGAGCAATCTGAGAGCAAAACGCAATCATTGATGACGAATAAGCCTCAGAGAGGTGGATATCGAGAAGGCTCCATGATGTCTGGTAATGCATATAGACCTAGTGAGTGTAACAGGTTTCGTAGTACATACTCAACAGATGAGTTGTGTTTTACACGTTTGCAAGAAATGCATACAAAGATGAACTGTGAACCAGTGAGCAAGTTGAGTGATAAGCTAAATGTAAACTCCAGACCTGACTCCGAATTGTGTGACGATAACGGTGCGGTGAAGAAGCCTGTAGTTGCAACTGGTAAGCCATTGTTAAATAGAGTGTCGCAGAATAGAGTTATTGCTTCAGAGTCCAGTTCTGACCCTACAAGTTTACAAGGTAATACTAGACAGATTAAAGATATAGAACATTTAAGGATTTGTGAGGAGGAACCAAAATTGTCTACTTCTGTCATTAAAGAGTTTGAAAATGATGAGATTGACGGTAAAGTGAATATTGGTGACAATGGTCATGATAGTGCAGATTTGTCTTTGGTTGATCATGATGAGATGAGGGATATGCCTACTATTGCTAAGTTGAACAAAGTTTCTGTACAACTTGAAGGTGAAGTATAATTAAATGCAGATGCGGTTGCGGAAGGCATGCATACTTGTGAGGCCGTCAGTTTAATTGATAAGCGTGTAGCCCACCTATCATCAGATGTTAATGCTGAATCGGGGCTAATCATAAAGAATAGCAGGGTGGTAATCCTACGGTTAGACAACCTTCCAAAGGTTGAACGACATTAGCTTCTGATGCACCGCTAAGTTCATCAACTCGTATCAGTCAGTCGTCGTTAGTGTTGTCATCCACAATGAAAGGGATGTCCATGAACTCACGTGTCTTATGCTATGGCTATGTTAGTATGGAGAGGAGGAAAGTCAATGGTCACTTTAGTGAGGACTATCCAACTGTGTATGAGAGAGTAATTGTTAAACTGGCTTGCACGAATAAAGGCCTTTCAAGTTTCAAGTTACTATTTGAATGTTATTATCTTTGGTGTAACCTGCTATGTAGCTACGCTTGGTTGGTCAGATACGTCGTGTGTTTGTTAGTCATCTACATTCCACGATGCAATGTTATGGGCGTGTCACCGTTCAAAGTTGAGGATATGGATGATGGAATGAGGTCAGCGAATGAACTCTGCGATAATTTTCCAACTTAAGGGTATCAATTTCAGAAGGAATATAGGCGTACTCCTATAAGTCCTACAATTCTTCAAGGGTAGCCCATCAAAGCAGAATCCACAACATTTGATGTATTCATTGTACATATGTTTGTGTTAAGTAGTTGTGTGGGTTTCGATTCAATTCAATGTTGGTTTGTTTTAAAGTTATCGCGTTGCACGAATCATCTTGTAATGTTGTTGTAAGTACTTCTGAAGTCGTTTCCAGTCTTCTAAACTTGTGAACGAATCGAGTAGTATTACAGCCAGTGTATGCGATTTGATACGCCAGGGAGGGGATTGTGCCAGAGTGATATGAAGCAGCCAACACCCTGTGGACCAGATCAGTGGTGGTAATTTTGACAGAGACCGAAGAAAGGTTAAGGTCACTAAGGAAGATCCCACACGCCGGGAGAGCGTACTGGTGTGATGTGTTATGGTTGCTGTGTGTTGAGCTATTTTTCTACTTTTCCATTTTAGCCTAGTCCCGGTTGGCCCAGGTTCCCGTGTCGGCAATTTAGTTCAAGGTTGTCGGCGCTATGGAAAGAGGGGACGGACGCTCTTTTGCCGGGGAGTGTCAATTGAAGTGAACATTGAACGCTGGTTCACTGGCCTTGATCGCCATTGGTGGGCAACTCAAAGGCGCGAATGGTTCGATCACGCACAAGTTCGAAGAAGACGAAAGAAAACGAATAAAAGTACTGCATATTTTGTGTAAAACAATTGTTTACAGACTATATACTAAACTCGATTTTAATTGCCAAATAATACAATTTCCTTCTCACAACCACTGGTGTTTTAGAGTTAAAGTTGAGAATCAGTCGTAGTAATTATCGGTATGGAGAGTCTTCGTAATAACAGGAACTTGGGACAAATTCCTTGGCAACCTATCGAAAACAGGGCGATGAGGAAGACCCGGCTTGTGCACTTTGGTTGGACCGTTAAGACGTGGAGTATTGGTACTCGTTAGTTTCATGGAGTCATACGCGGCTGATGATAATGATCCTATATAGTTCGGCTTTTTGTGAGAGTTTTTCATTAGTTTCTCCGCACTTACATCGAGGTCATGGAACTACTAAAATATTGGAATTTAGTTCGATCACTCAAAATACCTCCTATTTTCTTAAAAAATGGCTTTTATACAATAAAACTATACCGCCACATTTACTTGGCTTGGTAATAATTAATCTTCCGTTGCTTCTGAGTTAATGGTTTGCCTATAATGATTGAATTTTTATTATATGTGTAGGGGAAACCTGAACGTTTAAAAATAGACCTTAAGTGTGACGATTTGTAGGTCGACAACCAATTTGATTTGTACCAAATAATAAAGTAACATTCTGAAGATCAATAACCACGTTGATTATATCACTATTATTATGTGAAATATCTGTATGTGTCACCGTTGATTACTAGCATGCGCAGTAATAAATTGTAGGATAGTTCAATGGATATACTTGATGATGGCGGGCAGGTGTAATGCGGAATTCCCACTTCACATTAAAAGACAATCATTCTATGTGTATGTATCATTTGCAGTTATAAGTGTTCATTAATCCCGAAGGATCATTATTATTACTAACGTCCCTATTAAATTCACATATGAACAGAGTAGGTGCGATCTAAGTGCCAAATATATTCGGTGTGCTTTCCTTAATTACACATCAGCCTTTGATTATGTACCTAGGCCTACTTAGTTAAACAGGCTTGCTGCGACACAAGCAGGGTGCCGGACTAATAAGAAGAATTTAAGAAGTAACAAGGGTATATCACACCCACTGTTTTTGAAAATTATCGAAGCTAGGCCATCCGGTCCCGTACTAGTGGAAGGTTTAAGGCTTTTAATTGCTTGTACTATTAACTGATTAGTGAACACAATGCTTTCAAGGGAAGAGATAGTAAGGGGAGCGGTTTCACCAGGCATATGTGTTTCTAAACTAAAGTTTGCAAACCAATCACTGAAGAGTTCACAGATAGTGGCAGGTTCATTGTAGATTACTTTGTCGTGAAGTAAGTATGGGATTTCCCTCGCCGACTGCATTCGTTTTTTAAGAAGTGCCGTTAAGTTATAAACTTTGGAGGTACTTTCAAGTGCCGTTAACTCTTCGTCGAGGTCCTTTTGAGAGCGTAGGCGCTTGAGAGATTCAAGAGACTCGTGGATTGAGAGCAATAGTGATATGTCCTTAGTGGAATAGTACTGTTTCTTCAGCTTCCTTAACTTATTACGGTGTGCCCTTGGAATATATTCAGTTCGGTGTCTACTTAATTTCACTATTTTCTTTGGAGCAACTGTATCTAGACAAAGGGTAACATTCCTGTAAAACAGGGTTACTAAGGCCTCCAGGGAGTCAGTGGTAAAATAGTCATCCCATTGACAGAGTCGAATAAGTTCTTGGACTAATCCCCAGTCTGTATATTTGTAACTACGACATATTGTGCTTCCTGAGTCTTGTTTGTT